GTAGGTTCAGAAAGCAACGTTAGGCACTGGGAGCCGTTGCCCGGAGGCTCGGTCCGTCCTTCAGGGCCCTGCTGTTTGGGCGTGGCGGAGGCGCCGTTTGTGAGCCTTGACGGCTGGAAGAGAGCTAGTTTGGGCGCCGTTGCCCGGAGGCTCGGTCCGTCCTTCAGGGCCCTGCTGTTTTGCTGTGGCGAGGGCGCCGTTTGTGAGCCTTGACGGCTGGAAGAGAGCTAGTTTTCTTGTAGGTTCAGATAGCAACGTTAGGCAGTGGGAGCCGTTGCCCGGAGGCTCGGTCCGTCCTTCAGGGCCCTGCTGTTTGGGCGTGGCGGAGGCGCTGTTTCTGAGCTTGGAAAGCTGGAAGACGGCTACTTTTCTTGTAGGTTCAGAAAGCACTGTGGGGCATTGCCGTGCGGTGTGGCAACCTTAAGCTGGAAACGTCATCAGGTATGCACGCGCCACTGGTTGGTGCGACACTGCCGGCCGCTGGGATTGCGATGCGTTACCCGAATTCGGCCGGAAGCCAGTGTTGAGTGCACCACCGTGCCGCATGTTGGACATGCATGCGAATATGTGCGACCTGCGAGCAGGCCATTGGCAACGCGAAATTGTTTGCCGCAGCCATTACCGTGGCGGTGATCGACGCGCCCTGTTGCCACAGGGCTTTGCACAGACTTAGCACAGTACGGGCAGATGTATATGTGCAGTCGTGGCGGTGCTGTGTCAGGCCCGACAGCAAGCTGCTGGTTCGATGAGTGGGCAGTGTCCGTTTTTGGACCTTCTGCTCGCGTGGGAGTTTGTCTTGCTTCGTGTATTTCCTGAATTTCCTTGCGAATGTCCTCTAGGATTGCTGCGTGCCGGTGGCGGGTTTCGCGTTGGCGCAAGCGGGCCAGGCGTTGATTCGTGCGATGAGCAAGACGGCAAACGAAGGCAAAGGCTGTGCATGCGTTGCATACTTGTGTGCCGTCTTGAGTATATTCACGACCTTGTTGCCAAGCTGTAAACTCTGTTCGTGGCTTGCGTTCCGCGCACATGGAACACATGAAAACAGACCAGCGACTTTGACTGAGCTTCGGCCGCCATCACTGTGGAAGATGTTCACTGCAGGAAGGGTTCCAAACTCACTCTCTCCCAGGGGTCGGCGGCAGGGGGCGTAGCCCCTTAATAATTATATATATATAATTCAGGTTCTTAGTAAATTCATGTAAATTGTATGGATCCACTATTTGAAGAATAAAAGCATGATTTGTTGCATTTGTTTATTGCTTTTTGGGGGTCGATGTGTTTGCGATTAGGTTCTTACCCAGTTGTTCATTGTCCACTAATTCAAAAAGCAAAACATATCCCTTGGCATGAGTTATTGCGAGTTTAAACCATTGATGCAGAACTAGCATTGCAGATGATGTCAGCACAACTCACATGACATGAACACAACACAAGCAACAGCATTACAAATTTGCACGTCCACAGTCATCCAAAAAAAAAAGTTCTTTGTCAAGAATTACACTACACACAGTATCCATTGAAGAAATGCTTCAGCCTTCACTCAATTTCTCCATGTTTTTTTGCACAAGAGATGTCATATCTGCTTCGGACCAAACACGCACGCCAAAAAAAACACATGCAAATATTCCGACCCCTATGTGTTCTTGCATGTCCAAACGCAAGTGTTCTGAAATTCCGCCAGGTAATTTCCATCGACATTCACTCCCAAACTATGATAAGCATACATGTCATCAAACATCAATTGTTCCTCAAATAGCAGCAAGGAACATGAGCAGTAGTTTCCTGTTCCTTTATTTCACAAAGGAAATGTCCAAATAATTGATATGAATCATGTTGATCTCTGTGTTCACCTCAAACGGTTCGAATTCGAACCGACGAAGGCAGGACACATGAGCTAAAAATTCAAAATACGTAGATTCTTAAAGAGTTTGTGATGAAAAGAAGATACAAAAATTAGCTACAGGATGCAAGCAAATTGGTTTAGGTATATTATACGTGCATCAATTTGGGCACATTATAATTTTAATTCTGGATTCTGTTTAACGAGTTGCGGAAGCAAGCCCAACATGTTTGTAAATTCACTCACTAGCAAATCTACGTACGTACTGATTTGGGAGACTCAGTGAATCACCACATCTGCTAGTAAGAAACGCTTGCATCAGATTTTGTCTGATCAAATGCAGTGCGCCTCAGCAACGTCCATGGAAAAGAACAGCTGAGCACCAGATGCTTGGCTCGTCCTCAGTGCAATCTCAGCGTACCTCTTTGATAGAGGACTATCATCTGAGCGCAACTGATACATCCTTACTGTGATCTAATCTTCTAAGTTTACAAAAAAGGAGTTAAAGACAAATGGACCATCATTACCGTCAAAACATCAGAGCATGGTTCATGATTTTGAGTAGATTTTCACAAGATTGTGGACCCCCATCATCATTGAAAAACCCGCCATTTGGGAGCGGGATTCCCCTTACAATTCCCATCATTTCTGTCCTGACATCGCATTGTCACTGAAGTCGTTACAGCAAGATTTATCCGGATCGCGTTGTCAACATTTGTCAATCCTTCACGGTCCAAAGATGTCCATTCAGAATGTCAAAACAAAATGTGACCCACCCAAAAACATAGATGATTTCACCATCTTCCGCCTAAGGTGGAAACATTGTGGAAACCCTCCTGTTTCCACGGCTACGGAACGAAAAAAAAACGATGAGGTCCGCACTCTAAGCGGCAACCGTGAGGCAGTCGCAGCTGAGCGAGCTCCTGACATTCGTGGAGGTCTACGCAACCTTGGGTGGATAAAAAAGGTTTTAGGTATATAAATGTATATAAATACAATATATCTGGGGGAATTATGGGTAATTGATCTTGGCGATGATGATGATGATGATGATGAAACTCTGCCTCTTGATATTGATACCAGACTCTGGATTCACCAAGCGGAGAACGAACACCGGTTGATCTCATCGGCGTTCGCTCCTGGTGAACCCGGATGGCTCCCTGCAAGTGTTCCAGTGGATCCTGGCACTGATCGGAGATCTCATGGCTGATCTCATCCCGAAAAAATGTGAAAAGTGATGGGAAATGATGGGACATGATTTTCCTTGGAGACTGGAAAGATCCGGAAAGTAGACAAGTTTGGAAACAGCAAGTATTGGCATCGAAATCCAAGCAGCCCTCCTCATTGGCGTCACCGCAATCCTCCTTGGAAAGGCGGAGATTTTCATGTTTTCTGAGTCGACAAAAAACGATGCAATGATGCGCCAACAATGGGGGACCCAATGTCCATGGTTGGTTCAAAACGGTTTAACGGTTGTGGTTGTTTCAGGTCATCTTATTGGCAGGTTGTTTCAGCATGGGCAAACCAATCATATCTAATCATGCTTGTTGAGGGCACCAATGCCAAAAATAATCTTGTTTCAAAGGTCAAAGATGGTCAAAGTGTCTAGAGTCTAGGATGAAACCCAGATGTAAGCGAAATGTGTTGACCGATTAACAAGTTCCAGCCGGATGTACCCAATACAATACAAGACAATTCAATACAATACAAGACAATTCAAATTCATGAAGCAGCAGAGTCAGGAGAGATGGAATCACGAATGCAAATCGTGAAGAAGCCCAACAAGATTTGCAGCTGACATTCAGCAGTGCCTTTTTTCCCAAGCCATGAAGGCACAGAAGCATTGTCTGAAGAGCAGCATGATGAGTCTTCTACCTTGATCGTCCAGTGTACGAGTAGCCCTTTTCAGCGCAAAAAATTATGGACCACGAATTTATGGTCCATTTGAATTTCCTGCCACTGCAGCATTTGGAAGCATCCTGGAAGGGTGGGCTGTACTTTTCTTCATCAGATCCGCTGGGCCAGCCTTCCTCAGCCGGAAAACTCGGGACGCAACACCTGCCATCTTCGCCGCACGCCACATTCGGTCCCCCGTGCGTCCGGCCGCACCATTTTTTTTTCAAGCCAACAAACTTGCGGAAGCCTCCATGGCATGTTGATCCAATCTCCAGTTCACAGGTCTTGGTGGTGCGGTCACACACCAAGCCTTCCGCACAGCAATGCATTTGCTGCTGCTCATCGGCTGGTTTCTTTGCACACTCTTCAGAGCATGTCTTTCCTCTGGTCAGTGCTGAAGTGTTCGCACTGGACTGGGACGCATCCGTAAAATCTGCTCGGAAGGAGGAAACCACTTCCAGGAGCACAAGAACCATCCCAAAACAGATCATTTGGCACACAAAGAGTGGTCAACGGCGGGATATGGCCGGATAGCTTTGAGCAAACTGCAGCGAACCAGCCAAAACATGCCAATAAGACACACCACCAACATCCACCAGCCATAGCCACAACCAGCCTCTGATGGCACTTTCCACCACACCGTTTGGATCATTTTGGGCCGCCCAGCTGGGTTACCCACCGAGGCAGTGGCCAGAGAACTCGCAGGCCTCGCAGGCTGGATACCAGTGGAAGACTCACAAAACTGGCCCTTTTCTTGCAGTATTTATTTAACCATTCCGAAAATGGATGTCAATCATTTGGAGACTTATTTGTGGTGGCAAAAATGCTGAGATGTCGATGTCAGGGCATGAAAAAATATCCTCGTCATTGGTTAGCTCTTCCATCACGAAAGCACCCAAAATTGCTTGGGAATACGACACCGAAGCCATTGACCGGCCATGGCAACGTTGGACATAGGGGATGGCTGGCATGGCTGACACTATTTGAATCTGCTCTTTTCTATGGCCTTTCTACGTGGGGATGGGTCAAAACCCATCCCACCCTGGTGAACATCAAAATAGTTGGTGAATAGATGATGTTCATCCCCAAGGAATGGTATCTACAGTCTACAGGTATCTGCTCGTTCCCATATCATCCACCGCAAGGTCACTGGACGAAGGGAAAAGAGATTCACTCCTGTCACCTGAAAGTCGGAACTGACTGATCATGGGCAAACAGGTCAGTACCTTCTCACGAACCATGCCATCACCGATACCTGTAGTTCTTACACCTGCCTTTTCAGCTCGACCAGGGTGGTATTCACTTGGCTCCCAGGCGCTGTGGTGGATTCAATCTCACCCGTGTAAGGCCTCTGCCATGATACCATGCGCTGAAACCCATCTGCACAAAGAAAGTGAGGTATCATCCATTCATCATCCATTCATCATCCATTCATCATCCATTCATCATCCATTCATCATCCATTCATCATCCATTCCAAACATGTCCAAACCTTCAAACTCACTCGTCCCAAAACGCACCTCGGTTCGGCCTCACCTGTGGGCACTACATGATGATCGCAGCGGTGATGCAAATCCTGAAAAAAAATGTGATGCATGAACCACCGATTGAGTTCTTCGACTTGTAGCTAAGCTGCTAATATCCACAAATATGTGGTTTTATGACTTTATATATAGTGACGGACAATCACTTAGAACGTATTTTGGATTTTTTTTCTGAATATTTCACGCTTTTTGGACGTTCTAAGTGATTATTCGTCTACGTTCTAAGTACCCCACTTAGAACGTTCAAATATCAAGATTCATCACTTAGAACGTACCGGGGAATTTAACACTTAGAACGTGTCTAGGTCAATGATGATAGTGGAAAGGCTTGTGAAATCGTTTATCTCTAAGTGTTGGATTCAGCAGCTAATTCCGTAGGAAACATAGACATAATTTCGTACCATTTGGTTTTTCCCTCCCATATGATTTGCAAAAATTGGCGATCTTTTATCTCTGGAACGGTATACCCTTTGGTGCTTTTTGGGGGTTCTGAGTTCTGATGCTCGAAGTGTTGGATTCAGCAGCTAATTCCGTAGGAAACATAGACATAATTTCGTACCATTTGGCTTTTCCCTCACAAATGATTTGCAAATATTGGCGATCTTTTATCTCTGGAACACTATACCTTTTGGATCCTTTTGGTGCTTTTTGGGGGTTCTGACGTTCTAAGTGTTGCATTCAGCAGCTAATTCCGTAGGAAACATAGACATAATTTCGTACCATTTAGCTTTTCCCTCCCATATGATTTGCAAATATTGGCGATCTTTTATCTCTGGAACACTATACCTTTTGGATCCTTTTGGTGCTTTTTGGGGGTTCTGACGTTCTAAGTGTTGGATTCAGCAGCTAATTCCGTAGGAAACATAGACATAATTTCGTACCATTTGGCTTTTCCCTCCCATATGATTTGCAAATATTGGCGATCTTTTATCTCTGGAACACTATACCTTTTGGATTTTGGTGCTTTTTGGGGGTTCTGACGTTCTAAGTGTTGGATTCAGCAGCTAATTCCGTAGGAAACATAGACATAATTTCGTACCATTTGGCTTTTCCCTCCCATATGATTTGCCAATCTTGGCGGTCTTTACCTCTGGAACACTATACCTTTTGGTGCTTTTTGGGGGTTCTGACGTTCTAAGTGTTGGATTCAGCAGCTAATTCCGTAGGAAACATAGACATAATTTCGTACCATTTGGCTTTTCCCTCCCATATGATTTGCAAACATTGGCGATCTTTTATCTCTGGAACACTATACCTTTTGGATCCTTTTGGTGCTTTTTGGGGGTTCTGACGTTCTAAGTGTTGGATTCAGCAGCTAATTCTGTATAGGAAACATAGACATAATTTCGTACCATTTGGCTTTTCCCTCCCATATGATTTGCCAATCTTGGCTGTCTTTACTTCTGGAACACTATACTTTTGGGTGCTTTTTTTGCGGGTTCTGACGTTCTAAGTGTTGGATTCAGCAGCTAATTCTGTATAGGAAACATAGGCATAATTTCGTACCATTTGGCTTTTCCCTCACAAATGATTTGCAAACATTGGCGATCTTTTATTTCTGGAACACTATACCTTTTGGTGCTTTTTGGGGGTTCTGACGTTCTAAGTGTTGGATTCAGCAGCTAATTCCGTATAGGAAACATAGACATAATTTCGTACCATTTGGCTTTTCCCTCCCATATGATTTGCAAATCTTGGCGGTCTTTACTTCTGGAACACTATACTTTTTGATGCTTTTTGGGGGTTCTGACGTTCTAAGTGTTGGATTCAAAGCTAATTCCGTAGGAAACATAGACATAATTTCGTACCATTTAGCTTTTCCCTCCCATATGATTTGCAAACATTGGCGATCTTTTATCTCTGGAGCAGTATACCCCTTTTGGTGCTTTTTGGGGGTTCTGAGTTCTGATGTTCGAAGTGTTGGATTCAGCAGCTACTTCCGTAGGAAACATAGACATAATTTCGTACCATTTGGCTTTTCCCTCCCATATGATTTGCCAATCTTGGCGGTCTTTACCTCTGGAACACTATACCTTTTGGTGCTTTTTTGAGGGTTCTGACGTTCTAAGTGTTGGATTCAGCAGCTAATTCCGTAGGAAACATAGACATAATTTCGTACCATTTAGCTTTTCCCTCCCATATGATTTGCAAACATTGGCGATCTTTTATCTCTGGAACACTATACCTTTTGGATCCTTTTTGGGGGTTCTGACGTTCTAAGTGTTGGATTCAGCAGCGAATTCCGTATAGGAAACATAGACATAATTTCGTACCATTTGGCTTTTCCCTCCCATATGATTTGCAATCTTGGCGGTCTTTATCTCTGGAACACTATACCTTTTGGTGCTTTTTGGGGGTTCTGACGTTCTAAGTGTTGGATTCAGCAGCTAATTCCGTAGGAAACATAGGCATAATTTCGTACCATTTGGCTTTTCCCTCACAAATGATTTGCAAACATTGGCGATCTTTTATTTCTGGAACACTATACCTTTTGGTGCTTTTTGGGGGTTCTGACGTTCTAAGTGTTGGATTCAGCAGCTAATTCCGTAGGAAACATAGACATAATTTCGTACCATTTGGCTTTTCCCTCCCATATGATTTGCAAATCTTGGCGATCTTTTATCTCTGGAACACTATACCTTTTGGTGCTTTTTGGGGATTCTGACGTTCTAAGCCGTAGGAAACATAGACATAATTTCGTACCATTTGGCTTTTCCCTCCAATATGATTTGCAAACATTGGCGATCTTTTATCTCTGGAACACTATACCTTTTGGATCCTTTTGGTGCTTTTTGGGGGTTCTGACGTTCTAAGTGTTGGATTCAGCAGCTAATTCCGTATAGGAAACATAGACATAATTTCGTACCATTTAGCTTTTCCCTCCTATATGATTTGCAAACATTGGCGATCTTTTATCTCTGGAACACTATACCTTTTGGATCCTTTTGGTGCTTTTTGGAGGTTCTGACGTTCTAAGTGTTGGATTCAGCAGCTAATTCCGTAGGAAACATAGACATAATTTCGTACCATTTGGCTTTTCCCTCCCATATGATTTGCCAATCTTGGCGGTTTTTTATTTCTGGAACGCTATACGTTTTGGTGCTTTTTGGGGGTTCTGACGTTCTAAGTGTTGGATTCAAAAGCTAATTCCGTAGGAAACATAGATCGACATAATTTCGTACCATTTGGCTTTTCCCTTCCATATGTTTTGCAAATATTGGCATTCTTTATCTCTGGGACACTATGCCTTTTGGTGCTTTTTGGGGTTCTGACGTTCTAAGTGTTGGATTCGGCAGCTAATGCCGTAGGAAACATAGACATAATTTCGTACCATTTGGCTTTTCCCTCCCATATGATTTGCAAACATTGGCGATCTTTTATCTCTGGAACACTATACCTTTTGGATCCTTTTGGTGCCTTTTGGGGGTTCTGACGTTCTAAGTGTTGGATTCAGCAGCTAGTTCCGTAGGAAACATAGACATAATTTCGTACCATTTGGCTTTTCCCTCACAAATGATTTGCAAACATTGGCGATCTTTTATCTCTGGAACACTATACCTTTTGGATCCTTTTGGTGCTTTTTGGGGGTTCTGACGTTCTAAGTGTGGGATTCAGCAGCTAATTCCGTAGGAAACATAGACATAATTTCGTACCATTTGGCTTTTCCCTCCCATATGATTTGCAAATATTGGCGATCTTTTATCTCTGGAACACTATACCTTTTGGATCCTTTTGGTGTTTTTTGGGGGTTCTGACGTTCTAAGTGTTGGATTCAGCAGCTAATGCCGTAGGAAACATAGACATAATTTCGTACCATTTGGCTTTTCCTGCCCATATGATTTGCAAACATTGGCGATCTTTTATCTCTGGAACGGTATACCCTTTGGTGCTTTTTGGGGTTCTGACGTTCTAAGTGTTGGATTCAGCAGCTAATTCCGTAGGAAACATAGACATAATTTCGTACCATTTAGCTTTTCCCTCCCATATGATTTGCAAATATTGGCGATCTTTTATCTCTGGAACACCATACCTTTTGGATCCTTTTGGTGCTTTTTGGGGGTTCTGACGTTCTAAGTGTTGGATTCAGCAGCTAATGCCGTAGGAAACATAGACATAATTTCGTACCATTTGGCTTTTCCTGCCCATATGATTTGCAAACATTGGCGATCTTTTATCTCTGGAACGGTATACCCTTTGGTGCTTTTTGGGGTTCTGACGTTCTAAGTGTTGGATTCAGCAGCTAATTCCGTAGGAAACATAGACATAATTTCGATTCCACTGCGAATTCCAATTTTCTGCAATATTTTAATTGCGTTTTATAAAAGGAAATTCAATTGATTTCGAAAGTGAAAACAATAGTTTTTTATGTTTTCTTAAAATTAAGGTTTTAAATTTATTATTAGGGTCCGCTTCGGAATCCAATTGTTGGCAATATTTAAATTGAAATCGAAAAAAATGGTTTTTCTTATTAAGGGTTTAAATTTATTATTTAGGTCCGCATCGAAATCCAATTTGTGGCAATATTTCAATTGCGTTATACAAGGAAATTTGATTGATTTTGAATCGAAAAAAAATAGTTTTGTTTTATTAAAGGTTTAAATTTATTAGGGTCCGCTTCGAAATCTAATTTTTGGCAATAGTCTAATTGCGTTATAAAAGGAAATTTAATTGATTTTGAATCGAAAAAACTTTTTTTTTTATTAAGGGTTTAGATTTATTATTAGGATCCGCTTCGAAATCCAATTTTTGGCAATATTTTAATTGCGTTATATAAGGAAATTTCACTGATTTGAAATTGAAAACATAGTCTTTCTTATTATCAAGGGTTTAAATTTATTATTAGGGTCCGCTTCTAAATCCAATTTTTGGCAATATTTTTAATTGTGTTATATAAGGAAGTTTAATTGATTTTGAAATCGAAAAAATAGTTTATATAGCGACGGACAATCACTTAGCACGTTCTAAGTGTTGGTTTTACGTTCTAAGTGTTGAATTGGCCTCCCTACGTTCTAAGTGATGGTTTTACGTTCTAAGTGATGAAATTTTGCCTACGTTCTAAGTGTTGATTTCGTGCTACGTTCTAAGTGCGAAAAAAAAACTTTTGGATTTTTTTACGTTCTAAGTGATTGTCCGTCGCTATAGGCACGTTCTAAGTGTTAAATTCCCCGGTACGTTCTAAGTGATGAATCTTGATATTTGAACGTTCTAAGTGGGGTACTTAGAACGTAGACGAATAATCACTTAGAACGTCCAAAAAGCGTGAAATATTCAGAAAAAAAAATCCAAAATACGTTCTAAGTGATTGTCCGTCACTATATATCGTAGATTATATACAACATATACCAACATATACTGTACTGCTGTACCCCATAAATCCCCATCCCCAGATATGACATCAATCTGCTCCAAGGCCGCCCCTGCGTTTCATTTGCTCACCTTCTTGCGCCAGGTGTGCCGCGAGCTCTTCCAGTTCACGCAGGTCCTCTTCGAGGTCATCCTGCAGAAGTCCAGCGGCAGATTCCATCCGGCTTTCCATGGAAATTAATTGAACAAGTGGAAACTGGCGAAGCATTTTTGAAATTCAATTTTCGTTCTGCTATATACCATTCATTTTCTGTTGATTTACATGATGAGCAAAAAAGGATATATAAAGGATCTAAAGTCTGTACGTCGCATGTCCATGGTTTTGGGTCTGCACGAATCTGGAATCAAATATTTCTCAGAGTGAAGCCCGACATGTCCCCTCTCAAGAGGTTCCTTGAAACTCAGGGGAAACCCAAGGGCGCCCAAATCAAACCCAAACACAGACGCCAAATCAAACCCAAAATGTTGAAGAGCCAAGTTTTTGGCGAAGTTGCTGGCAATAGCTGTAAGCAGTTGGAAACCCCTGAACATTGATGCTGAAATGTTGAAAAAACATGATCCGTTTGAACTTTTGAATTATTGTAGTTTGTTTACTCGTTCCATGGTCTTAGCTTTCTTGGTGTCTGGGATATTCTGGGTTGATGATCAAATTTTGAATTTTCTGGTGCGCTGATGGCTTGCATCTCTCCGCTAGTATGGCCACGGTTATTGACATCTGTTATATAGACAAACACATTGATGACCAAACAAGACCGCATATCACCACATGCTACCCTCTGGATACGTTCACATGTGCTGGGTGGGCTAATCCAGCGACGGCTAATCCAGCGACATTTGATCCATTGATTCTTGGTGATGCCTGCTAAAGCAAAAAGTCATGCATTGCTAGCTTGCTGTTTAGACCGGGTCGGGGTCTGTTTCATCTGTATTTGCATCTCCCCCCTGTAACATTAACCTAGAAGCCGAAAACAAATGAGCCAAAAATGACTTCCAGGATTGCCGGCTTCCTAGGTTAGGCAGTGGTGGGGTGTTTAGGGTGGGGGCTCCAGTTTTGTGTGGTGGTGCTTAGGTTCGGGAATGTCGTATGTACCCATATGATCCCATATGTACCTTGTGCTGTGAAATACCGCAAAGACTTCACTCGAACGAGATAGGTAGAGATGTGATTCATACAAGCTCATACTACACACTACACGGCTATACACCTGTTACCCAGCTGGCTCTTCCAGCCGGTGTCTTCATTCTCAACCAAGTGAAAAGGCCTCCAATTCGTCACCGCGCGCACTGAAGGTCACACCTGGATAGATCTGGTGGTGATTACCAGGCACATCCAAGCACCATAAAAAGCATCATGAAAGGACATCAAGGGGTTCTGGGGTTATGCCATGCCAATGAAAATGATTGAAAATGAATGGTCATCCCAGTTGTTCAGCCAGGTCACTGTTTTCATGATTGTTCATTATGGTACAAATTCTCTAGCACCGCAAATCAGCAGGCTCCTGCCTGGTTCTTCAACCGTCTCCGGCTGCGAAAGGTCCAAGCCTGTCCGGACAATTCGCTTCAAGCTGAGAAACTTTCACAATTCCATGCTGAAGAATAAGAATCTCAAATGCAATCTGCGGGCCATGAGATCACTTGAAAGGGTTATATCAACTTTGCGCTGTAATTGATGGGTTTGTGAGGGTTTCTCCTGAGATGGGATCCACGGGCTTCATCCTTTTTTAGCCTTTCATACGTTACTCCCCAGTTTTGCACATCGAACAAATGAAACGCAAAGAAGAGTCTAAAACTTGGAGATATCAACCATATCAACCCCAGGAAAATAAGAAAACTCTTGGGCCCCTCTGCATCTACACCAGGCATCCCCACCTGCTGGCGCGGATCTGGCCATGCGATCGCTGATCGGAGGTAAAGAGTTGCTGCTGCGCAGGCATCGCCCTCGTGGCGCTTCAAGATGACAGAGATGTGGAAAAATTACCCTCTGATTATGTCAAAATAGCTATTGAAAATGGTGATTTATAGTGGATTTTCCCATTGAAAATGGTGGATCTTTCCATTGCTATGTTAGTTTACCAGAGGGTATGCCATTTTTTTTGACAAATGGACATGACAAATTACAACGAAAATTGGGAAATGATGATGGTTTCTGGGCGTCAATTTGATGTTTTTTCCATGGTCGATAAACTGGGTTGCTATCCTTTTGGGTCAGTTCTTTTGTCGTAATATAGTGGGGAAACTCGAAATGGCACCTGTTCTGAGCTTCTTATCATCTTTGACTACCCCACTGCCCACCAGTTGGCTAGTCGATTTTTCAATCATTGGATGAGAATCCGCTATCCCTTTGCTGATAAGTTATCCCAGTTACAACTGGGCCGGATCATCCCCCCTATCAAGGGGCGCCTGCGTCGCCTTCGCCGTTCGCTCGGGGAGTGGAGCTGCCCTCTTTGGAGCTACTCTCCTTGGAGCTGTCGGCCAACAACAAAAAAAATGTTGTTTGGAGGACCCCAAAGCAGCCCAAAGCATCGAACTAGATCGAAATTTTGGTTGTTTCAATATTGAAATATTCCGAGATAGTCCGATCGACTTGGGTGATTTGGGGGTACCCTGATTTCAAGAAACGACTTGGATAGAGTCAATCTTTTGTGCCAAAAACCAACATCTACTTTACATACTACGTCAGGTCCTTCATTGTCTTGATACATAAACCATCATAAACCCATGATTTTGTATCACCCTTCACACCACATCAAATCCTCGCAGTTTGCTTTGCAGCTTGAAAATGGAACCTGTTTTCCTGAAAATCAGAGACTCGCCAGAAGGCCAACAGCAAGATGCCCAAACTCTGCTATCCCTTCGCTGATCCAAGTGACTGCATTTCGGAGTGGCCTGGGTTGTTGAAGAGTGGAAAACCCAAAGGTAAAGGCAGAATGGGTCGCTGTCAATCTCTGCTGGATCCTGGCTGTCAAAGTTTAACCTATATATCATATATATATATATATGAATGCCTGTGATGAAAGGTCAAAGTTTCTAAGCGACTGCCAGCCGAAGGATTTCTTGACCGTTTTTGAGGAACAGCAACGTTGGGCGTGACCGCTCCGTGAAAGCATCTTGATTACATCAATTACCATCTGGTTATTTAACATAGCCATGGAAAATCACCATTTTTAATAGGTAAACCATCTATAAATGGGCCATTTCCCATGGCTATGTTAAATAACCAGAGGGTAACGTCAAATTACGTCTTTGATTTTTGCCCCCAATATCCGCTTCCCAAGTGGTATGGTTCAAAAATGGGGTGCCAAGGGGCCAACAAAAATTATTCACCTTTTGCCTTTTGGCGTTGTAAGGGAAGAAAATCCACCATTTATGGGTGATGCGTTTTGTCCTGTGTTTTCCTGTTGCCCCAAGTCCACCATCGCAGCCAAGTTCTGGGCTCCCGACCTCAAGGGGTAACCATCATTGGGCACCGGCGGAAGCATACGCTGTCGATGTGCCTCCTGGTGCCCCCGACTGTCATAGCTGTGGGATACTGTGGGCATCGATGACAGACATGGCCTCCGGTTGCTCTCGTAGTGTCATACAAATACTAACAATCAACAGGTCTGTCAGAATGTCACTATAGCAGATTTCAATTCGGACTCTTCCCGGTATCACGCAGTAATTATCACGTTTCGTTTTCAAATCGTTTAGCCCAAGAACTCAAGAAAACAACCCTTGAAAATGATCTAATATGATCTATTTAAATCTATTTTTGGAGTTTGCTTCTGGGTGCGCTTCGCAAGAGCGCCATCCTGGACCATTACATCGGAAAAAGACTAACCCAGTTTGGTGGCAGCATCCCAGACATGCCAATCTTGGTTCAGCCATCGATATTTTACCGGTGCAGTTTGCAGAAGTCCCCCCATATACCTTTACATCCTCACGTATCTTTCAGTCAGAAGCGGTAAGGATTTGGAGTCCAGCTGGCTCCCGGAGGCCTTCATCCGCTCAAGTGGACACTCCCGCAAACAAAACATGAGTTGTCTGCCGGGATTAATGACACATGATCCTTAATCACTGGTTTCAAATCACCAAAATCAGTACAGCACTCCATGCCCAAACCGAAAGGCGTCCTCTGTTCGCGACAGATGATCTTGCGCTTGTCGCACACTGCGCGCGCCAGCCCGTGGGGCCCGTGGGGCACGCGCAGCCATGGCGTCATGAACAAGGCGCCCTCAGTGGCGAAGCTTTTTGGATTTTTGTGTTCTTCCCCTAAATGACTGGTGAAAATCGCAAGCAAGCCATATCAGCCTTGTGATGTACTCATGCATTGTTGCAACTGATGCATCACTTCATCTGCTCTGGAAGAGGGGGTTGATTGAAGGGAAATGTAAGGACTATTTTTTCTAGCTGAGCATGTGAATAACTAATATGACTGTTGCTGTGTGCATGTCATGTACCAACAAGACTCACTGGGAGAAAGCGGAGCGGATCTCGACAGAACAACGCTTCACTCAACTGCGACCTTGACAGTCATCGTTGGGTCCCGGCTTGAAATGCATTGAATCTGGAGATATCTGGAGAATCGCCGATCATTTAGTACACAACTATGAAGAAGTGATTTCAAACATTTTCAAACGTTCATGGAATATGAATATGGAATATGTATATATTTATATAATATTATCTATATGCATATTCACACACTTCATACCAACTGTTTTGACCAATTTATCGACTTTCGGCAGATCCAAAGCTCCAAACACCGCTGTCATCCGAGTCGCTCTTTTTCGGATCGACACTTCCGGGCGAGGCGTTCTTCCCCACTGGTGCCATGGGACTGGTCTGTGATTCATGGATTCAACATGTGCAATGGATTGAAGTGGAATGTTTACCTCAGACCTCCAAATATCCGGTATATATATATAATATATACTGTAGTATATATTATTGGATCATTATACAAATGGGTTTCCTCCAAAATCTCCAAAAGTACAAGCCAATTCTGAGACCATTCCAAACTGCTGTGAAAATCCGAACGCTGTTTCATGAGATTCGCGGCAATCAACATGTTCTCCGGACCAGTCCCGGCAACCCATGAGCCGTGGCGAGTTCAAAAGACAGGGGCGACCATCTTCAGTACCTTCCAATCGCATCGCCATACAAAACCTTGAAATGGTAGCATATCATCATCAACGAAGCATCATCTATCATATCATCTATCAATCTTACATTTATATATATATATCATGTATATACATACATACAATTTGATGGCTAGTTTATTAGATAGTTTAAAACCCTCCTTTAAAATCCTAGCTGTCTTGTTTCTCTTAGAAGCATCTGCACAACTGCGAAGTCCCCGGGCACGCGCCAGACGCATTTTGTCAAGAGCAAGTCGCCACGTGTGCACCTCGAGATGCACTGAGGGGGATATGAAATTTATCATGGCATATTTGGGATGGAACATGTCCATTTACACATTATATAACATATTAATTACATATTATATAAATATATATATATATACATATACGTATAATTACGTATACATATATCATGCCAGATATCCATATGACACACATATTTGAGAATGTTGCATATTTGGCAAAAAAATATGTCTGTGTATTATATATATAATATATATATATATATATCCATGTGTACATGGAAAAGAACAAATGCTGCGTACGCATCAACCAACAAATAAAAACACATCTAGATATACATACCATTACATACTACAATAGAAGTATATGGAATGAGGGGCGACTCTGCACAGGTACAATATTTATCGGATGGGATCCACCTGAGGCACCGACTCTGGTTGCCAAGCACAGCGGGGGGGAGCGCATAGCCCCGAAAGCCACGACTGGGCGGCGCCCATTTGGGGGTTGAAAATTGGGACGGGCCTCAAAAGTGCCATTTCTGATATCGCATAGAAGTGATACACCATCGGACTTTGGGGTTCGAGATTTTGAGACAACTCCACCTGATATGTGTCAATAGATGTCAATAGTGTCAATGCGTCCGAACTGACAAAACTTCCACTTCTGCATCGCCAAGCTCGGTAATCAAAGCCAGAAATGATGCAATCCCCAAATTGGATGGTCACTCGCGACCAACCGACCAACGTGGTCCCCTGGCAGAATGTTGACCTCCAAAAAAAAAGGGGAAACTGGGAAACTAATCTAACTACTCACTAGTCGAATCAATATTGATAGATTTGATAGTACAAATATTTACAAATATTGGAAACTATTACTGCACAAATTGGATCGATATCGAAGCATTATCACTAAGCAATGTTTGAACCGATAAAACATCCAATCATGGCTTGGCCCCCCTGAGGTCCAAGGAGCGCTTGTGGGCTGCCTGAGCGGTTTTTTGGTGTCAAACATGACATGACAAGAAATTCCTATATGTATGGCAAATGCAGACATGTCATTTTGTTCAGTGGCTTTGCACGATTTTGGAATGATTGTCTTCCCAGACCAGATTCTGCCATTCTGCAGTTACAGTAATCATCCCCTAAGTTCTGTGCGGCTGAAACGGTCTGAGTGTCGTTGTGCCAGCCATGTTGCGATACAAATTGTTGAAAACAAACTCGCTAAAGCCTTGACTCCTCAGCTGCGAGCAGAATGTTAAAATCATTTGACAACAGACCCTGAAATCGTTGGTCCAAATCAAAGCGTTCAGCCATGACTCGCCAGTGCAACATGTTTTTGAAGGGCTGTGATATCCACCAGGATGATCCCTTCCCTGCATGGAAGCAGTTGCCCTCCAGAAGTGCTCAGCTTGAAGAAATTCGATTGTCGCAATGTCATGATTGGAAGACGGTACTAATCGATTACCATCATCCTTGAAACTCACAATATACATCAATATACCCCATCAATCCCAATCATCACCTTTAGGACGAACAGCTGCTGTAGTGGTGCCAACGGGTCTCACCCAGACCTATGGTTTTGAAAAAAACAAAATCCCAATCATAGATGATCACCACAATGTACCAAATCACTTCTGGCTTAAGGAATGGTTAAGGAGGATTAACCACCACACTTTCTAACCCCACAATATTAGCATAGCTGTCTTCGGCATGCCGTCCAGCAACGCATCGAAACCGGAACCGATCCGGAGGAGCTTCTTGGCATAGCGCAGCGTAATCTTGGGGCCGTCGTTCAAACGACGGTATGGGGGGTTTCCCATGAAACCAGAGGAATCCTCTGTTTTTGTAGCCATTTTTTGAATGCAATTGCTATAGGTATTTAATACAATACCATCTATATATATATATATGTATGTATGTCACGTCTATTATATGTATATATAAAGATGTCAGTCTGTCTCTATCTATCTGCAATAATTATATTTGCAATGATGTATTTAAGACTGCCTCAATACACAAGTGCTGCCCGGGACAGTTTTGGGACCACATCCCCTGGAATTAATGTTGGATTCCTAGTCATTCCACATGAGCGGTCAGGGTCTTGCATCATGGCAATCCAGCATGGGGCACGCTGTGACACATGATTCAGGCTTTCATCTGGCCAAGCGCGAAATCTGCCAGCAGTGTCTTGGACATGAAGTGCCAGGCATTATTTGTTGCGTTTACCCAAACATACCAAACTCATCCGAACCCAATCTTTGTGTTGCCTCCTCCAGATAGTCCAACCAACAACTTTTGGGATGTCACCGGCCAGCAATGATGGGGGTGCAACTTCCAATGACAGTATGGGTGTAAGCTGTCCCTTGAGCGACTGTGGACAAGCAACATAGTAGTTGTTGAAAGCTTGTGGAAGCCTGACAACAAGAGAAGCAGTGTGCAGACAGGCTGGGTGGATAAGGAGAAACGAAAGAACAATCGAAGTGAGGAACCAAAACCAGAAGATCAAAATCTTCAGCTTTTACACTAAATCACTATAATCTATGTAATTATATATATATTATATATTATATATTATATATATATGTTATATAATGTTACATACATACACAATACATACACCTGTATACCCTATCTTTGCACAGCATCAGGTCTAAGAATTGCCTGTTGAACCAACCGCCATTTTTGGGAGCGCTTAAGAGAAAACGGATGAAAACGGGCTCCACCGAAACCAGCAGCTGGTAGGGAAAGAAAGATTGGAAAACCCACCACCTGAGTGCTGGACCCTTTGCCGGGTTTCAGCCGGAAGATGGGTGTGTTCGCCTTCTTCCGCTTCCTCGGTTTCTGGATTTACCACCCCGCATAGAGGGGCCAGTCTCCGCCGGTACTTATCACAAAATATATCCAGATCGCATCTACGTCTTGGCTGTGGGATTCACCCCTCCATGCATCAACCAGTAGGACAAGGACGTCTGGAGAGTCATCTCTCCTTCTGTAAGTGTATTATATTAGATTTTTGTATAAGATTACATAAAATTACATGTAAATGCATGTAATTATCTATAATTCCATACAATTCTATATAAATCTATACAGTACATGCTATGTACATGTAGTATTTCCTGATTTCAACTCCCATCACATCCACCAGGCGCCAGGCATCTCGGTGGAATTGCCATGCTTCTTGGAGTTCAGCTTCTGGTCCAGCTGCCCTACCTCTTTCAGTGGATTGAAGGCCACGAAGTCGGTCTTCAGCGGCAGTTTTCCCAGCAACTCGTTGCGCCTGCGGCGTCAAATGAGACATGAAATGGGATGTGAACAATCACATGGGCTTATCAGGGGCCATTTGAAATCTAATACATATTCATATATATATATAATTATATACGGTAACTACATTTAAATAATTATACAGATTTTAAAATATACGAACAAGTATTTTAGATTATTTTAGAGTACCTCCGGGAAGGTTTTCCTTGGCCCGCCCGGCCATTTAAACATACGGAATCCAATTCATTTAAACATACTGTACGATAACTACATTCAAATGTACGAACTGGTATTTTATACTACCTCCTGGGCCTCGCGGTCTTGCCCGCCCTCCACATATTTAAATGAAATTACCGTGTATATATATATATATGTGATATATTGAAATATGGCTCTAAAATGTTGTGTTATGTTTCGTTCAGTTTTGTGGTCTTCATTGGTTAATTCTCTTGAGGTCCCCACTTCTGGCGAAAGTTCCAGCACAGGCTCTCTGAATCTTCCAGAATGCTGACCGCTGGGATGTTCCTCGAGCACATGCACAGCTCTGATAAAAATTGGCAGATTTCACTGCAAATCACCTGGTCCAGCTAAAGCAGAGAAACTTCAAAATGACATTCGCAATTTACCTGTGATTTCCTGTGTGTTTGTGAAAAATGTGAATTTTCAAATATGCCTGTGGTCAAGTCCATCAATATCATACAGGACATATCCAAACTGGTTGGTAACTCTCGAACATTCGCAAAGTCGCCGCATCACCATGAACTTCCACAATTTCATGTGGGATGCTGCCTTCCTGGGCCACCGCAACTGGGGTGTCTGAAAGGTAATGGAAAAAACATGGAAAACCCGTTAAAATCCAATCGGGATTATCTATGATTATCATGATTCTCTACAAAAATAGCCAGAATTTGGGGTGTACTGCATTTTCATACCCAAATATTGAGGAAAAACTCTGCCTACGGGAAAAAAAGAAAACTCCAAGCTGCTGGGTGACAATTTTTACGGAGGGAACTGATTTCTTGATGCCACCCTCTCGAAGTGGAATCTCATAAAGTGAGATGTGGTAAACTGAAAATGGGATACACCAAATGTGATGTCTCATCATCATTTGTCCTATCAAAACGTATTAATGTATATCAAAATATCAGATGTTCGGGTCCATTTATAGTGGATTTTCCCACCAAAACCTCCATTTATAGTGGATTTTCCCATAAAAACATCCATTTATAGTGGATTTTTCCTAAAAAGTCATCTAAAAGTATCCATTTGTTAAAGACACATAGCTATCCCATCCCCCGAACGGACCAAGGGGCGCAAGCTCCAGGCGCGCTCCCGGAGATCCTGGGACTCAAAGCCATGGACCCCATTGAAAACCATAAAACATCTCATAATCTTCCCATATGTTCTGATATATATATATATATAAATAAATATACATATATATATATATAAATATACATATATATATATATCCATGGTCGAGAGCCAGAGGAGTCCCATTGCATGGCATGTCAGAGTTCACTGGTTTGGTGCAGCGATGCGGACCGCGCATCATACGAGATATTCAGCGCTCATGGGGGCTGGATTGCGTCACCATCCGTGAGCTTGAGCAACTTCAAGTTGGAAATGCACTGCTTGGATTTACGCTTTTGGCGCTCCTGGAAATGGCGCTTGCTGACGGACAAGGCATGGTAGAACACCCAGCCGAGCCTGAAGATCTTCCCCACGCGGCTTCGATCTGGAGGCTCCCGCTCATCAAGGCCATCATGCAACTTCCGACCATTGACTTGCTTCGATTTTCCCAAGGACTGATGGGCGCGAAGTCGCACAAGCCAACCCATCTTCTCCTTTTGAGCCTTCCACAGCTTTTGTCGTGTCTCCACGCCAATCGGGTAAGATGTGATATCCCCAAGGCTATTGGCAAGGACCAATCTGGCAACTGCTGTGTTGAAGGAGTGTCCGCCAGCGATGTGCAAAGCAGTAGCCCATGCTCTTTTTCAGGCCACTTGCGACCGACCGGTCATCAATAGAGCACCTGAACCACCAGCAGATTTCTTAGACACATGCAAACGCATGCACGTCACTGCATATGGTGAGAGCATTGGAGCAGACTATGTACAAAGATAGCTGGTCGGACTGCTTTTCCAATTTGTTTTCCGAATTCAATGAACCTGAGACAGGCCGCAGCGCGAAGCTTCATTGTGCCTCTTGGAAAAATATATATATATATATCTATGATATGTACTATCTATCTATCTATCTATCTATCTATCTATCGATCTATCCTATCTATCTATCTATCTAAAAATATATATATATCTATGATATGTACTATCTATCTATCTATCTATCTATCTATCTATCTATATGTGTGTGTGTGTCTTGTGTATATACGTATATATATATATACATATATATTCTAATACCATCTAATACCATATTCCAATGATTTCCAATGGTCGTTCAGTTTTTTTTTCACCGGAGCCAGGTGGATCGAAGGCCAAGGATCTGCTGAAGGCCATCAGCGCAGACTGCGGCAGCAAGCCATCTTTGATCGCTGCATGGAGATCTGCAGAAAAAACCCGAGAAATGTGACCCTCTGGTTATTTATAGATGGTTTACCTATTAAAAATTGTGATTTTCCATGGCTATGTTAAATAACTAGATCGCATATAAATTATACATAGCATTTAAAAGCTGGGATGGCTCGAAATGCTCAAAATAGATACCGAAATGTGTTTCCAAGATTTTCCAAGTGTGTATTTACACAATGAGTAAATATGTGGCTCAATTGGTACCTGATCTTGGAGCCATCAAATCAAATAGAACATCTGGTCACCTGAGGGTTCTGATGAAGGTCTGATAAAATGCCATGTTCATTTTCTACTTCAACGCGGCCAAGGCGCTTGATCTCCCCTTTAAGCATGGGAAAAAGGCCAAGCTGGTGTTGGACGACATAATGCCTCACAAAAGCAAGCGCTGCATTGCAACATATTGCAACAAACGACCTGTCGCATCCCAAATCCAGGTCGGATTTTTATGGATTTCTATGGATTTGTTCCATCAGCACATCTTGGTTTCCCCACTCATGATCTTCTCGCGGCGCGTGGTTTGGTACTTTTCCGAGCCGCAGTTCAGCAACCAAGTCCTGAAGGACTAATCCAAAAACCTCATCAAATCATGGAAAGGGATCCAAACCCTCAGAAATGTCTACCATCATGGACGCTATGTGTATCTGGACATGAAAAAGAAGCCCCTGAACCACGGCAGCTTTGATTCAAACTCCACAAAAAAAATCAAGCGGACACCTTTAGAACATCAAAGAGTACCCCACTACAGCGCATCATACCAAACACCTACCCTTTGGAAAACGTTCAAAATCCCAAAAAATCCCCGGTACGTCATCACTCTTGGTTGACCCGATTACATAGACAGATCCGTCCCTGGATCTTCTTGGGGCTCCTGGGTTCTTTGACTCCATTCTTCAGTCTCGTTGGACGCTTTTTGGCTTTCTTTGGCCTGGCATGGCAGTTGGAGCTGCAAGGCCACTTGTGACTTGTGAGACCCATGGATTGCTTGTAATCCTACATCACTTCCTGATAGACGATATACCGTATACCGCAGAAATATATAGAAATATCTGGAGTAGTCTTCACTTACGAACTGGTCACCTCATATCTCCGCTCCCCCACAGGCCCTGTGGCGACGATCTGTGGTAGCTGCGGTTCAGAAAAAATCACGGGCATGAATTGCGCAGTCCTGAGTCAACAAGATCTATTGCCCAAGCTAGTGCCAGCTCCGAAGCATCAAACCTACAACTTGAAGGACTTGGCCCTTTTCCAAGTATCAGTGGCATCAGTGAAGATATTGACCCCAGTTACCCTCTGGTAATTTAACATAGCTATTGAAAATGGCCATTTATAGTGGATTTTCCCATTAAACATGGTGATTTTCCATAGCTATGTTAGTTTACCAGAGGGTACCCACCTGGCTCAGTTCCCCTTGGAGCTGGTCGTGAACCACATCTTGCAGACCTTCCCCCCACCCAAATGAATTTGCAGAGCATCGTAGCAGTGATCAGAAGACTCACCTGAGACTTGGACGGAACACCAAGAATCGATGGATTGGTTTAAGGGAAAATCTACAGGAAACCATGGTTTTTACCATTAAATATGGGGGGGTTCCTGTAAATGTTCCCTTAAACCAATCCATTGAAAGAAGCCAGCTAGAGACCAAAAACAAAGAGAAATGCTGAGAATTGGTGGTTTTCTTAAGATTCTGGATCCACAGTATTCAATGGCCCCTAAAAATTGGGGTGTACTAACCATTTCTTAGACACGCCAACATATCAAATGGTTGGTTATGTCCAAATTACATCCCCATAATTCTAAATGGATAGTATCATAATCATATTTCAATTATATAATCATCAACCAACCATCATTTATCAATCATATATCAATATATTTGATGGTTGGTTGATTATGATGATGATTTATCAGAATTTATCATCATCCAACCATCATGAACCATATATTTATCCATATATTTGATGGTTTAAACACCATATTTATCCATATTAACCATATTTAACCATATTTAACCATATTAACCATATATTTAACCATATTTATCCATATGTAAACCCCCAAGTTGTGCCTCAAATCCCAAGGTCCCATCAGTCCCATCAGTCCCATGTCAGGCTGCAAAGTTCACAGCGATGGCCCACAAAACGAAGACCACCTGCCGCCGTCGGAGAGGCAAGACCTCCCTCGCTTCCCTACATATATATATATACATATATATATATAATATGTAGGTACAAGAATATGGATATATAAATATATATATATATTATATATATATATTATGATAATAATAATAATACACAATAATATGTACATATACATATATATATATATATATACGTATGTATGTATATGTGTGTATATGTAGTATATACACACTCCATGTCAAGAGCTGCTGAGAAGCTCATCCAATTTTGGACGACGAACCGCCCTGGCCTTGGTCCGGTGTCGAGTGCTGCGGCGATCCTGCCAGGATTTTTTGGGCTGATCTTGGCCATGTTCAACAAGTACCCTCTGGTAATTTAACATAGCTATTGAAAATGACCATTGAAATAGTGGATTTTCCCATTGAAAATGGTTATTTTCCATAGTTATGTTAGTTTACCAGAGGGTAGTCCCTTCCAAGATAGAGAAGAGGATAGCAAAGAGATCAATTGATCTTTTTTGGGGCTAGGGATTTCCTAGCCACAAATCATGTAAACAAACCGGTGGTCCAGTGAGAGGTTTGTTGGCTGCCGGCCTGTTCCAGCTGCACCATGTGGGACATGCCTTCTTCCTCCACCTGTCAATCGGTTGCAAATATGGAGCTTTCATCCTGGGGGATCCCCCATTTTAAGAAAGCCCCATATGATGTCTGCTATATTCTGCTAATTTGATTGTATATCATTGTATATCTCACATCATCCTTTTTTTCATCCTCGTTGTTCTCAGGGTCATATCAAACTCCAGCATTGTTGAGAATATTGAGAATCAATATTCTACAGTATATATATATATATTATGCACATATTATACAATATTATACATATACATGGTTTTTTTTCCCCGGGGTTTTTGGATCACTGGCGAAGTACAAGCCACCCTCCACACCCAGCCTCCGCCGCCTTGGGGCTCTTTTCCGTCTGGCAAGGCTCGGTAGTCAGGATATCTAAAGATGGGTAAAGAACGAAATTTCACATCTGTGGATTGAGGTTGTCAAACATGCTGGCCACCTTTCAATAAAGACATTGGACTTGGGCTGTCACTGACAATTGTGTTGAATTCTCTCTATTCCACCAAATGAAATGATTGGCTTTGGCAATCGAAGTTTCAAACACACCCATGTCTGATTATGCACTGAATATCCAAATGATTGCTGAGCATCTCAATATATATCTCCATACATCTCAATGTTTTAGAGGTGTTTCCTTGTTTTCTAATTGTTTTCTTCCTTCTTTTCTCTCCACTGATTTTGGGCCACAGAAACTCGCTGGAGGAGCCTCGGTACGACTCAGGTGACCTGCGCCGGATCACAGGAAAGTTGCCAAATTTGAGGGTCCGTTGATACCCATATGGGATATGGTATATCATTGATAAACCAAAATATTCTATAGATATACCATTCCCATACAAATCCTATTGGTTCAAACCTCCCAAGCTTCAACAAATTTGCAAGCTGTCGTCAGTGGCAAGGCAAGTGGGCCACTTTCAGAAAGGCTTCTTATCAGCAAAGAAAGCATTCAGTTTGTTCCAAGCTTCGCAACTCCAAAGATCAGGAAAAGCAAAAAGCATGTGAGCCGTGATTCTCAATCATGGTAGATATGGTGACAAAGTCATCCATCATATCCATCCCATCATGGGAATGGCCTGAGAGGAACAGCAGGACTGCCATGCCCAGCATGGCTGAGACCGCCATGACCGCCAGGACCTACCGGCACTCTGGACATCTCAAGGAAGAAGCTTGAAACCTCTGACTCAGTTTATTTGGTTCAATTCTGGATTTGAGATGATTTTTTTCATGGGCTTTTGATGAATTCGGAACTCAGATTCCTCCACAACTGATGGATCCCACTTTAAACAAGCTGCAGCCAAGATGCTGCTGCCCCAAGGTGGGCATCGATACCTTCCTGGGCCCAGACCTGGGTGGGTTACCATATAGGCCCAAAGCGTAGGGAAAAATGATGAAAAATTGGCAAATAGTTGATCAAAATTGATCAAATATCAAGGAATCTACCAAAGATAGGAAAATGACTGAAAATGATCAGAATCTCTTGGATGATGTTGGATTTGCATGGATTTGCAGCCATCGTACCCGTGGACAAACACAACCACGTCATGGGCACGTTCAATGAATGAGTGATGAATGATTGATGAATGATTGATGATTGGAAGGTCCCAAAAAATCAAGCTGTGGATTTTTGAGCATCCAGGTCATGGACTCCTGGAGCTCCCAGGTCTCCGAACGATAGACATGACGCCCGCCATGTTGCTGAATGCCTGATCACTGCTCTGTCTGTTGTTCAACAAACACGTACAGTACTTGGCTCTTGTGAGTTTGTCCAAGTGTTTGGAGCAAGAACCTGTCATTTTACTTGGGAAACCGATAGGTTTTTGGATGGTTTGGGATGGTTTCGGGTTCCTGAATTCTTTGACATACCATGACATATGCAAATACGAGGATGACTCGGCACAGGGTGCCTCCAACAAGCTGTTCACCGTGGCTTCCCGTGCTGGAAAGCACACCTCCGGCAGATCGCATCAGTTTCAGTTTCCACCCTTGCGCAAACAACCATGACGACCGGAAATCCTGTTTACCAGCTTGGGTACCCAATAAATTATGTAGAATATCCCAGTGTAATCCAGTTTATAATGTATGATGATGTATGACGCATGATGATGTACTACTGTACTTGTTGTTTGCCAGAGGGTCCCTGCAGCACCCCACCTCAGATCCCAGCTCGGCGGAGCAGCCCCAACCTGCGGAGACTTGCCCATGCCCATGTCGGGAATGCTTCCATGATGTCTCATCACCGAGCTTCACAAAAAAAACAAACTATGAAACTTCGAAATGCTAAGTTCGTCCTTGCTTAAGGTCTCTGCTTTTTGGGGGATCTTCATTGACATCATGACATGTTTGACTCCGGCCTGGTGTGGACAAACCCATGATCCCAACTGCCCCGATGAAGACCCAGGGCGACATGCCATAGTGAAGGCACCTGGGGAACTTTGCATCTCAGCTTGGGATATCCAAAAGAAATGTGCGAACAGAAACTCAAAGTGCCATAAGATTTGAAGCCTCAGCTTCCATTGGCCTGGAATTTATAGACCATGTCAACCATGTCTGGTGGTGCCAGGAACAGACTTTTTTGTCACTGCCCATGATACTTGAGAGATCTCTAAGTGAAATGTCAACAAGTGAAATTAGGTCAAATCTCGCAAGTCTCAGGCCATTGGCTACCCCATTTTGATGTCAAAACATACTCAAACATGATCTTGTATGATCTTGTAGGTTTGGGTTGAGAGGCAACCATTTTCATCCATAGCCATGGTCCACCAATGCTTCGCACTTCATCTGAGTGCGAAGCATGTAGCCTGCCAGCAGTGAAGCTGCCATGAAGGCATTGGAGATCAACAGAGCGGCCTGGCCACGGCCGCCACAGGCGGCCACAGGGGAATCAGCACTGGGTCGCAGAAAAAGGTTATAAAGTTTCCCAGCTTCCCATCCTCAAAAGACTAGAAAACCATAATATGGGGGGGCAGTCACACATCAAATTATACAATGTTACAAATCAGCTATTTGCAACAGCTACTTCGCGGCAAATTGATGCAAATTGCAAGTAGCAATTGGCAGCTGCACATCCCGGCACCTTGTAGTATGTCGCAGAAGTGATGAATCGAGCTTCAACGATGGTGCCTTGCGATCCAAGCGTCGGCGCTGACAAGTAGTGGTGCGAGAAGCAACTGCATCCCAACAAATCGAAACCACCAATTTGGATCAATTTGGCCGATTCCGAGGCAAATCATTTATGGAAACACCCCGGTGATATCTGGCATTATCTGTTGATCCATTGTTCATTAATGTTCATTATCTCCATGCATCAGTTTCGCGAAAGTCCCGGATGCTAAGAATCGAGGTAATGGCACACGACATGGCGGTCCAAGATGTCAGGGAAGCGTTGTAACCTGCGCACCGACCCCTCCGTCGTACACTTGGGATAGATTGGGGAAATGATTGGGAACATGATTAGGAAAATGATTGGGATATACCCCATTTAACAGCCATTTAACAGCCATTTAACAGCCATTTAACAGCCATTTAACAGCCATTTAACAGCCACTTCAGGCATCATCGCCAGTACGGCGTTTTTTTCGGCGAGCTTTCTTCACACAGTCAGTCGTCTCAGCTCCCAACCATAGTTTTCCAACAAAGAGCCTTCCACTGCATCGAATGCGTGCCCAATAGATATGTAGATCATGAACCTCAGTGACTCACCAGCCACAAGGTGGTTTTGTGGGTGGTACCCCCAGTCATAAGTTGGCCTTTTTTAACCCCATGAACTGCCATAAACTATGGATAGTAATCCTCCAAAAACATCTCAGTTGGCCTGGCTGCCTAGTCATAATATGTCATAATAATCAACTTAGCAAACCGGGGCACCATCACCTGGCGTCACCTGGAGCCTTCCAAGGCTTCCAAGGCTTCCAAGGCTTCCAAGGCTTCCAAGGCTTCCAAGGTCCGAGGCACTGAAAATTGATGATCCAAAAATCGCTCTTTCTGAGAATTCCTTTGACCTCACGGGCAGGTCACACAGCTCATCCTGCCATATCTATCCATATCTGCCATCAATAAAAGGTGAATAAAGCCCTCCGTTGCTTGTCTTGCCGTACACCTTTCAACTTCAAAGTTATCAAAGTGATCAAAGTCATCGTGCCATGAGCTTCACCCTTGACATCGCAGCTGCAAGCCCAGGCTCCTCATTGATGAAACTTAATGTCGGCCGTTTTTCCATCTGCGGCCGGGAGGGCTTTCATCACGGGGCCGTGACTTAATGTGCTACTCAAGCCATTCGTGGCACGATCGCAGCCCCCTCTCGCAACTGTTTTGGATTTCCAGTCCCAATCTGTGGAATTCCAGCCTGGTTATATGGTACCCCATTTGTGGCTTATCCATATTTCTCCTATCCAGGAATATCCATGATTCATCTATGCATCGTTTACAACATCCGATAGCTGTGGTTTCACTGTTTCACAAACCACTTACGATTCGTTGATCCAAACTGTGCTCCGCATCGCCGGCCTTTGCAGAAACTGGCCGTGACTGATACAGGAGAAACGTTAGCGTAAAGGCGACCATCCTCGGATACCCAAGCGAAGGGATGTTGCCATGTTGAATGGAAAATCATCCATTGAATTTCTATGAATTCGATTCAGTTTGGTAAATATGTTGAATGTGAAATCGTCCATCAATTCAATGGGTATCGATGGTGTTGTTTTCCTAGAAGGTAAATGCCGTCCCATGTCTCTACCATCGTCCCAAACGGACGTTCGCCAAGTATCGCCGAGTGAAACTGAAAGCTGAGCAATGATGAGATCTGCCTGTTCATTACCTCACGTACAAACCCAATTCTCCCATTTGGAAAGGAAATTCTGCCCTGGTTGGGTCATATTGAGTGTCCAGGAAATTTGCTGGAAATGGCTTGAACTGAAGCAGGATGCCACGAAGTCAGTGGGATTGTCGTCCACGAACAAGGGCGGCAGCACGAATGACAGCGATCCACCCACAAAGTTCATGAGGTTTGAAATCATCGCCTTAGTCTTCACTCGGTTGGACTTGGATCATAAACAGAAACATTCAGCTATGGCCATGGCTATGGCTATCAGTAATCAAAGCCCGGGTCTTTTGGTGAAAACCCCAAAGTTAATGTATGTTAATGTATGTTAATGGTTGTTATCTCTTAAAATGTTCATCCCAAATATCGTATAGTAGTGTGCCCTAATATGTCTTAACGTCTTAACCCAACATGGAAATGTGATGACCATCCATGGGCTATGGTCGAATTTCCGCCCAGCCGCTGCGGCTGGCCGATCCGTGGGCGAGAACCAATCCGCACCCATTTCGGAGGTGCAATTCACCAGCAGCGGCTGGCCTGCCATGGAATGCCATGGAATGCCATGGACGGATGAGCATGGATTCTCCAGCTTACAAAACTGATGTTTTTAGGAACCTGAAATATCTGAAATATCGGAAATCTGATGAAATCTGAACCCACTGCCGGCTGCTGATGGCTGTTGCGCCTAAGGCACATAAGGCCTGGCCAAAGACCAAAAACCTCAGGCGTTTGGTGCCACCAATGTCCAAAATGGCCAACCATGAAGCAAACTAAAGTATATCATCTGCTGAGACTCAAAACATCAGCGGTAGTGGGAAAAACATTTGGTGAGTCATCCATCATTTCTGGACAGAATTCATAATGTTTTTTGCGTTCTGAATACCAGTTGGTACACATTATATATATATATATATATATACATATACGTATGTGTGTGTGGGTATGTGTGTATCCCATAGTCCTCTATGACTGTTGTTTGTGTTTGTACGCAAATCATTAGCTAATCATGGGTAGAAATTGCAGGAATGTCCCAATATTGGGGGTCAAAAGCGGGGTACCAATTGACCCATGGGGTACCCACCCACAGAGGGCATCAGCAAAGGCACACAAAAGGCGAATTACTCATCCAGCTCGGCATCAGCTCTGACCTGCCATCAGCTGTGAGGTGTTCTGATCTTTCTGAAAATTCAACGTGGATCAAAAAATTGGGATTCTCTGGGAGATATTGGCCAGAGATGGTCTAACTATGTCTAAATCTGATAGGCAAAAACTCATCGAAAACTCATGGATTTTCAGAGCTGCCCACAAGTTGATCTTGGGTTAAATCTCTGGAGTTTTTCCAGCGGGCCCAGTCCCACCTGGGCCAAACCCATCTGGAAAATCAGTCCCAGTATCATAAAGCCTGATAAGCCCTGATAATTAATGGGATCGATAATGGGATCCCCAACCATCATCACCCCTCACACCATCTATCACCATCTGCAGTAATCTCCCCATGCCAGCAGAATATCCCGTCAGAGCTGCGCACTCGAAGAGTTTGGGGAGGACGGAGAGCCGGCGTCCAAAGTGCTGCGCCTCCAATGGGCTGTTCCTGCGCTAGCAGCGAGAATGGCTCGAAAGAAAAGGCTGGAAACGGCCAGCATGGCATCATGGAACCCTAAAGTATGGTTAAGTTAAATTATATGAATATATATATATATATATTATATATATATATGTATATATATATATATATATGTGTATATATACATATGTATATATATATATATGAATTTTGTATGGTTAAAACTCAATCGTTACAGACGTCTTCACTTTTTTTGGGACTCACAATTTGATGCAATTGCACCGCTGTTGGCAGCCTGGAAAACAGATGAAACCACCACTATTTTGTGCCCTGTTTTGCTGCCAAGTGGCCAAGCAGCAGTTCGCACAGCACAGCCTGCCCAAAATCGCATGTACGCTGGCGACTGGGTGACTGGGTGCCACTGCTACCCGAAACCCAGATTTGCTCCTGGGGATTGCCATAGTAAAGCACCAATCGTCAACATTCTGGCTAGTCATCTATTTTTTAGTTTTTTGGGTATCTGCAGAGCGTCTGTTGATATTCCTAGAGACCCCGAAAAAATACCCGGCAGGCATCAGGTCGCCACTTTCTGGACTTGCAGGCCAGAGTGTCTCCAACAATGCAACAAAACACAAAACGGAGACGAAATGGATACAACTCGTTTCCCCTGCCATCTATTCCGTCACGCCTAATCACCCCTTTCGAGCCTAGAGCAATCAGAAGCGTCGCCAGGATGAAAGTCCAGCGACACCCCAGCACCGAAACCAGCGGACCCGTCACAAAGGCTCCGGGCACATAGACCTCGATACCCCAAGGTGCCATGTGGATGTGGGTCACCATGGGTCACCTAAAAGCACCTGAAGGTTACCAAAAATTGGTAGGTCACATGGACTAGTCATGTTGGGGATATGTTTGGGATGTAAACTACTGGGTATCAAAGCTTTGACCCATACCCATGCTAGGGATGGGATGATGTCCTTAAAGATCCTAGAGCCTTCAAGCACGTGGTACCAGCAAAACAAAACGAAAAAAGATGCTGCCAAAAAAAAACTAATGTTGAAGGAGGTGAGTTTACGTGGGCATAGCACCAAGCTCTGAACTTTGTCTTTTAGAGCCACAGGCACCAGTGCGTAGAGGATACAGAGGAAATTCATTGCAGCCTCGTCCACGTGCAAAGAATGCATGCCCTGTCGCAAGATCGGTACGAAGGTATACTGTGGCACATAGCCTGGCCGAAATAGCTTCAGGATGGACGACGTTTAGAATTTGGTGCCCCAAAACTGGCATTATATAGGGAAAACGGTGATAAACAATGTTTGTATATGGGTGTTGCTCAAAATCGTGAAACCCTTTTTCACCATTTGGTTTCCTTGTTGACACGATTGAATGATTTGGGGTTCCCCCATTTCAGGAACCACCAAAAAAAAGACATGGACACCCAAAAGTCTATCAATTGCCTAGATGAAATGGAATGAAATGACCACAAAGCGGTGTCGCCCGAACGCCCCAACTTTGTTTGGAACGATGTGTGTTCCACCTCCCACGGGCACATGAAAGGCTCAAGATTTGGTTGCCAAGGTGCTGACGCAAATGTCCAAGCTCAAAATCCCAAGAGCCACCCAGCGCATCGAGCTGTTGGTGTGGGTATCTTCTTGAACCTGGCTTTGATTACGCCCAAGCTGTTGGGTTTGGTTGGAAAACTGTGAAACTACACGGAATGTGTGAAATGGCGGCAACTTATGGTGAAATGGTATGATGGAATGATATGGAATGGATGGAAATGTATGGGATGTAGAATAATAAGAAGAAGAGTAATAATAGTCATGTGATCATGATACATTCAATTCCAAGGCGAGCCCCTCCCATGGCCTCTCCGCATCTCAAGCAAACTCTCCTGGCCAGCTGAAAGTGCCTTGCCAGGCTCATTGGGCCCCAGGCCCGCCTAGGCCTTCAAACGGCATGGCCCATGGCCCAAGGGCCAAAACAGCCCATCCGGCATGTGTATGAGCTTCTAAAAATGTAAAGTGCCAAAGTTGTTCTACCCAAAACAACTGATGTAGACTGAAGACGCACCAAAGCAACAGTTGACACGTCCCAGGACAATCGATAGTTTGTAACTCGTAAATTGCAAGACTTGGTGGACTGCTGAATCCTACAATGATGGTGAGTGATCATTGCAATAAGTGACCCAAACCAGGTTGTTTCAAGCTGAAATACCCTGCATTGCGGAACCAGTCAGAACCACAGGTTGCGTAATGGTTCTAATGGTTCAGCAGGCGGTCTACGATATGACCCAAAAGTGATTCAGCGTTTCTGTGGCTGCCGGGTGCTTTTCACCCTCGCATCTGCCACTTTCAGCCCAAACGTAGCGGATTTCGCTGGCACATCACTGACTGGACAACAGAAAAAGCATCTGGCTGTGGATGAAAAAAAATAAGTGTATACTGTATACCAATGGGATCCACAAAATTGGTCAGTCTTACATTGAAGCATCCATTTTGGGGATTTGGGGAGTCTAATAAGTTTGACCCATCCCGATATTTGAGACTCTTTGGCTAGAGAGTTTTGGATGCTTTTTTGCACTAGACATACAAGAGCCATACTACCTCTCCACACGCACTGCAAGACCCTGTTCAACCTCTGTCAGCGGCATTTTGGAGACATTCCCGCCGGCGACATTCCAAATGACAGCTCAGACATCCACAACATCGGCGCCTTTTTTCATCTTTTTTCTCTGTCCCAAATTGGGAAATTACAGCCATGTGTTTCCCCCCCTACAGCAACTTGCCACGTTTGGTGCTGTTGTGACAAAAACCATGGTGCAGCATCTGGGGATGGTCTCCACATGTTGATGGCACTATTCGCTGTCGAACCATGTTGGAATCGAACGAACCTGGATTTGGTTTCCAGAGGTATAAACCAGTTTTATGTGTATGTATGTGTATATGTATGTGTATATATCGGGTATACCCGGTGTACCCCAGTTGTATGTGGGCACTTTTGTTATTTACAAAATGGCATACGTCAATGTCAAAGGCATGGATGAACCGAACGGCCGTCACTTCGGAACCCTGCAACTCCCAGGAGCGCCAGTATTCCTGCGAGCTTCTCCGGCCGCAACAGTTCAGTTTCTTTGGCACGACTGATAGGGAAGTATGTACATGACTCATATGCATTCATATGCACAATATGTTTCAGCAAAAAAAAGTATATAATTGCATATAATTGCCGTGTAGGGACCAGTGAAGCTTCTGAGTCTGCACATACCGATGCTGCAGAAGGTCTTCTGCCTTTCCACTCCACATCATCTTGACGCGGGGCACCGGAAATATGCGGGATTTGAAGTTTGAAGGAGTGTCTTTCAGCATAGATTGGTCTTCCACATGATCAAACATGATTGGACATGATCAAACATGATCAGTATGTCAGAGTTTCAAGGTTATTTCAATCCGAATCTAGAAACCACTTTCACTACAGAAGCCGGTGCCTGGTCTTTTCCTGGGTCGAGAAGTTTCTTCCAGCCTTCATCTTTCCATAAAGTCAATGACTTTTGTTCCGCAAAACAAATAGATGAACAGGAGGCCCTTGCATGCAACTTCTCCCTGACTGAGTCACTCCAGATCTCTGAAAGCTGCTAGAAATGATCCCTCTTGATCTCATCTGCGCAAAGGTTCTCAAGGCCAACCAAGAAAACCCTACCGAGTTGCAGGCACTTTGGCCCGCACGCGTTCATGGACGGGTGCCCCTGGCCCAGCTGGCTGCGATGGCCCAGCTGGTACCCCACTGGAGGCGGATGCCGACGATGAAGCCGCAGTGGATGGCGCAGCGGAAGTGGATGCGGCCGCGCCGCGCTCATGCGCTGGGGCGGCTGGGGCGGCTGGCGCGGCTGAAGATGATGCACCGGAGCGCCTGCAGCTGAAGGGGGAAAAGAAAGCAAAGGTCATCATAGTGGGTAAATTGGGAGGATTGAAAGAACAGAATATCTGAAACCACCCGCCCAGTTGGATGTTAAATCATGTTAAATCCACTATTGAATGGCGATGAAATCCCTATGTTATGCCTATCCTCCTGTAGCGGTGGTTTTATCTCCTCGTGTGTTTGGGCTCCGGCGGCCTGCGTATCCGCCTGCTGCGCTGGCTGGCAAGGTTCAACTGCCTCAGGTCTCCATGGAATCATCTCAGGAGATCTCAGATCTCTGCGCGAGGCTTGAACACATGGTGATTGCCCAATTCACACAGCTGGCTATATATATATATATACCATCTGGTTATTTAACATAGCCATGGAAAATTACCATTTTTAATAGGTAAACCAGAGGGTGTATATATATATACATACATACATACATACATACATACATACATACATTAATTAATTACATTACATTACATTACATTACATTACATACATACATACATATCATATGTATACATCATGAACTGGTTGGTGGTATACCTACCACAGTTGATGCATGTTGAATATGTTGATAGTCTGTTGTTATATACAGTATCTGTTGTTTGTATCCCAGGTTATTCCCCACAAAAAAATTGTTGGGTGTGGCAATTGCCGCAGTGGCCCATTCTTTTAGGATGGGTCTCCCATGCCAGGACAGGGCCCCAACGTGAGGCTATTGAAGTCGATCAAGTACCTCCCAAAAGTTTGATCAAAAGTCCCTTCTCTGCTTGCCAACAAAACAATAGAGGCAAGTCAAACAATATTGGCTGATCTCAAATATTGAGACCTCATTGAGACCTCATTTTCATCCACAAAGAAATTTGAGACATCATGAGACGTACACAGTTTCGATCTTCTGTCCAGCCACAAGTTGCGCCTGTGGCCGTTGAGACGAAGTTCGCAAGCCTAGTCCCATGGTGTCATGGATTGCTGGCGATTGGCCAAGCCATGGTGCCATCGGAGCCACCATACTGTATCATTTGATATCATTTTATGATCACAAATATCACAAATATCACCACTTAAATGATATATATGATATCATCAGAGCCATGGTATTATCATTTTATATTGTGATATTTAAGTGATCACCCCCATTTGGTCCAATGTTGATCTGCAAACCTTCAAAGTGAGAGACCATCACGCCCCTTTTTCAACCTGGTGCATGGTCATATCCGAAGCCACTGAAAAGTGCTGTGGTAGTACAGTTGGTGTAACAGTGCAACCATTTTGAACAAATGCAGGGCCACCACACCTCCCTTCATGCAAATTGTGGTCTAAGATTCATGACCCTGTAGTGACCTGGGACATATCGTATCACGCACGTCATGGCTAAGCTTTGATCACCTGAAAAAAATGGCCAATCTCAGCTCTTCTGGGAAAGATCATAGTCCTCAAAAAGTGAAACTCCAATTAACATCAATTACAAGTAAGATCAAGTAACCACGGTAAACCAAGTTAAACCAGATCTCAAGATGCACTGCTCTCAGAGGTGTAGGAACCTCCTTCATCTGATCCACAGCGTTCTGAAGGATCCGATCGCTTTCCACGTCGAAGGGCACCCACCTGAGAGAAGACTTCTTGAGCCATCTGAGCATATGTACGGAAATGGGTGTAGTATACACAATGTATTTATGAGATTTTATGCGTATACATTTAGACATTTAGCAACATGTGCGTTCGTCGAAAAAACAAGCTACTCCAAAAATCCATGGTTTAGAATTTCGTCCATATAGACCATATAGATTTTATGAAGATAGCCTTATCAATTTTAGGCATATAAATTCTATACAGGTTCATCCTCATTTTCCCTATGGTCAGTTTGTCATATAGAGGCCCATCCGGTGCCCAACAGCCTAGCTCCATGGCTTTATTAAAGCAACGACAGTATTGGATGGTGAAGATTTTAGAATAGTAAGAATAAAAACAACAAATCATAATAACAATAATAGTAGATAATGATAGTCTTTAATAACGATAATAATAGCAGCAATTACAATTATATAATGGAAATTATGATTCGAGTAGTTTCCCCATTAAAATGAACATTTCAAATCACCAGGTGATCCACTCAGCGCCAGACCCCTTGTCGCCTTCAAATTCCCATTCACAGGCCTCCAGGGGCAAATACATCGGCAAATTTCTGGAGTTGTTCTGACACATTATAACTCCAGTATATCCCATGCCATTAGTTTGTATATATATATATACATACATACATTTATTATTATATATTATGTATTCCACTAATACATTTCATCAATATTCCATATAGTATATATCTTTATATAAGATATATAAGATATATAAGATATATTATATACATATTATACTATATATTATATATATATTATATATCCCACTAATGTCCCATTCATGGATACATCCGCCACAGATTCTACAGACCTCCAAAAACACAGCTGGCGAATCCGAAATTCGCCAACGGCACCTCTCGAGAGACATGGGCCTTCGAATCCTCTCTGAACGCGGCTTGTCCCGAAAAAAGGGAGGACCATGGGCCTTCAATTGATGGTAAAAAACCATATAAATATCTGGTAAATATGATTATAAAAAAATCTGGTAAAATCTGGCAAATATGGTGGAGTTCAATTGATTGTCACCTGGTAAATATGATGAAATGGGTAAAAATCATATAGATCTGATAAACATATGGTAAATCATCAGGTAAAACAATGTAAAACAGATTTGTCAATCATCATAAAGTCCCGATATATGATAAAACACTATAAAACATGTTTTTTAATCATATGGGTGTGTCTGAAAATAGTGTACCCCTACACCCAATGGTTAGTGATCATTATCCCTATTAAATTATAGCTATACCCTATTTTCAGACAAACCCATATCAAATTGCGACACTTCGGGAGTGTACCCTACAGCAACCGCTCTCCTCCAAGACCAACCGCATGGCTTTCTCCACATCACCACCCACTGCACAGAGCGCCACTCGGGCGGACTCCTCATGCCGAAAAAAACGGCAAGTTTGGGACTCCCCAAACAGTTACCAGTTGCATTTAATTAGGATCGATATGATGGATTATAATGGGATTTAATGAGATATATTCATGGGCAACCAAAGTGGCAGCATCCAATTTTTGGGCCACAGTCACACCTACACAGTCCACAGTATTAATACGCTGACATGAAAATCCGATTGGAACAGCCATTCCGAATCTCATCAACCCATGCACCTTCCTCCCTCCTCCTCCTCCTCATCATCATATTATCATAATAATTATCATCATAATCATCATCCTCGTCGTCATCGTCGTCGTCGTCGTCATCGTCATCGTCATCATCAGTCGAATCATATCATCATGAACTCAAAAATACGTTATATGTTCAACCTCCCCATAAAAAAAAAAAATGTCAAATTAAAATACAGTAGTGAAAAGAAAAAACTAAACATATCCTTTATTTGTTTTTGGTGGCTTCCATGCAATACAAAATATATACTATATACAGTATCTACCAATTCCCACAAGTCAAACCGGACCGACGCCAAGCACCTTGTCCATTCCCATGCCCAACAGTTTCTCAATGGGATCGTATGAGCCTGGGTTCCCAAGAAGTTAAAATTCTCCCACAGCCAAATCGTTCACCCTTTAAACATGGTTCAATCATTGGCAAGTGAAGTTCATTGAAGTTCTACCTGCACCTAAAAAAATGGCGGAGTTGTGACCAAAGATGAGGGTGATTCTTTTCCATGATTTGACCAGCACCGGTTTTTGCCTCTCCGACTTTTTCGTGCCATGGGTTGGCCAAGGTCACTGAGGCCCGCTACACCGCCCATTTCGCTTCACATCTGGTCGATCTTTCACCTCAGGCTCAACGTTCCCGTGCTCGACAGCACTAGAATGCAATGTCAACAATTAAATTGCAGACATGGTTTTGTCCAAGAATTATCGGAAAACAAGATTGTTAATCATCATTTTCCAATTGAAATATCTCAAAATAACAATTTTGCCTGATTCCCCATCTTCAGACAGACACCATATTCATCCATATTGGATATATTGGCATAGTTGCAACCATCTGGATTTCAAAAGGAAAATTCTGTTCCGGTTTCTCACGGGAAAACTATGCCCCCTGTCTATGCTTTCCAAGACCAGGTTAACATCCGCAAAAATATGTAAAAATCATCCAACATCGGAATCTGAGCAAGGGGAACATCCGAACATCCCAGATCCACACGCTTCACAGCTTTCCCCGCTGATGTCCCGCACAGAGGCAATACTCCTTCCAAAGCTTTGATGGAGAAAATGCAGTCGGACCCAGTCAATGAGTAGTGGATAGTGACGATAGTGGGAGTGGTGTACTAGAGTGTACCCATGGTCCTGACATCGCCATTCAAAGATCATCAAACATCAACTGACCAACTGGGATACCTCGACCATATCTCGACCTTCGCCGAGCAGTACAAAAGAATCGAGCAGGTTCCTGGTTCGGAATGATTGCATCATCGTGATCTTAAATCCCATCCAACCCATGTTTTTCGTTGTTCGAACCGGTTTGTCCGAAAATAAGGCTCTCGAAAATCCAGTGCTTTATCATCATTTTCCCCATTTAAATCGCAATTTTGGGGGGTGCACAACCACCACCAGGTGCTCCAATCGCCTCCTGTTCGCCGGAGCTGTCAACGGTTCGAAACCTGGCTGGGAAATGTGTCCATTGCCAGGTCAGAATCATGGCATGGGTATGGGTTTTCAAACCCTGGCAGTTCAGAACTTGGACTTGAGTTATGAAATGTTATGAATGTCCATCATTGTCCATCCACCCATTCAGATGGTTTATGGATGACCATCACCCTATCCCATCTACGTTGGTAAATGTCCATTGCCATGATGCTATCCCATTAGATGTTGCCCCATCCCCATATATCCCCATATTTCATTTAGCAATTGCTAGTAGTCAATGCACATTGTGTACCATACAAAGATATTGAATTGAAATTACTTTGGGTGTTTCCAAGTAGATATCCCATCCCCTGTACCAGTACATTATCCATGCTGGGCTCCCCATCTGCTCGAGCCACCGTAGGACCTCCGGGAGGATTTGGAGCCTCCGAGAAGGCCAGTACAAGGTGTCGAGAAATTCAGCGGGAAATGTGGCTTAAGCAACCAAAAATATGTATATATATATATATATATATATCGTGATTGGACCAACAAAAACCAATAGGATCACTCATGATTGATCATCATTGATCATTGATCCCGTGATGTTGATTGAACTCTGATTGACCCTCAGTCAGCCAAGTTCGGGGGGTGACTGAAAATCAATGGCTTTATTCAAGAGAAATCTTGACGGAAACGGTGTGTTCAATTGTTTTCATATGATTTCTGTCCCAAAAGTGGGGGTTTCCTGCACTGTTTCCCTTCAACCAATACCCAATGGCTTGACCCACCATGGGCATCCCCGCTGGCATCACCGAAGCCACACAGGGGCCGATCCTGAACAAGTCCACTGCGCAAGTCGGCATGGAACCAGGAACAGGAAGATCAGAGGGACAAGCGGGCTCACAAGTAAATGCATAGACTATGCAATATATATATATATTATATATATATTATATATATTATATATATATTATATATATATACTATATACATCTATGATAATCTATGTACTTATATTAGATATACTGTAAATCGTATTGCAGAATGTTCGAGACTTAACTGGGTTTGTCTCAACATGGGGGAGGCCCAAGCTGCTAAAATTTATGGGAAAATCATGACTTTATCTTTGTTGGAGTCACAACCCCCAGATCTGGCTCGGCTCCCTTGCTGCCACTGACACTCGCGAGACTCCTCAGCTGCCACTGACAGTCCATATTGGGTTAGCAACCAAAAATGGTGGATGGCCCCTTGGTTTCATGGCCAGTAAAATTGGTATGCCCGAAATTTCATGAAATTTTCGATAAAATCATAGTCAATCATGAAAGCTAGAAAAACCACCTGTTTTCAATCAAACCATATCAAGAAGTGCTTTGCTCCACAAACTACTGTTGCTGTCAAGTAATCTGATGCTATCAAGCCCCATTGGCTACTGAATTTAAGCAATCTTGGGCCGGCCATATGTCACCGGTATTCTCGCAACCCTGTGGTGGCGGCTGGGTACCCTGGCTGCTGCGATTGGCCTGGTGTCTCAAACATCACGGCGTTTTAGCTACAAACAGGCAGCTTTCAATGACGGCAATCATCGGTATCATTCAACGCTGGAGATCCTTCCAATTTGGAGTTCATTTCGAGCATACGTATGGCTCCAAAAAAATAAAATCCTCCAGAGTGGGTGATTCGGTAGTCACAATTCATCCGTCGAAAGGCGCCTCGGGTGCAGCTCCGGTCATTGCCTGAGTCTGACATCAGTTGGATAGAGGTCAAAGCTATGTACCGTCAAAAAATGGATGATGTAATATGAATCATGAACAAAATCATGGTCCCCCTGAACCTTAACATCTGGACCAAGACCTAAATGATCATGTTGCCAGGACTCCCAGGACATGAAATGTTACCAGGAAACCATCGTTCAACCCAAAAAATCCTGGCTTTTCCACTTCCAAGCTGCCAGGGGCCGCTCCTCGGGCCGCCTGCGCTGGAAAAAATTATGGCATCATGTACTTTCAGTTACCCAGTGGTGGTGAAAACCTTTGCTTATTTACATGTATTTATACATGTATTTACATAAATGTTTACATTATTTTACATGTCTTTACCACCATCTAGGGTCATGTGGATACACCAGAATTGAAGTTACTACAGACTGACCATTAGATGGCGCAGCTTCTCTATAAAATGGGGGGTCTAGCAGTCGCGGTTCAGGTATTCAAGTACCCCTTTTCACCATTGGTTTCCCTATGAAAAAGGATCAATAACTTGGATGAAATTTGGGTTCCGCCATTCTAAAGAAAAAAATACTTCCTGTACTATCGGCTGGACAAAGTATATCAAACTACTATAAATCACAAATCAGAAATGAACCAATGTGTTCATGCATAGTATAATTCCCAATTCCCAAGAATTTACGAAGCATCATTCTTGGAGACCTTCCCAGGTACAATTTTCCGCACCTCCTTCGACTTGGAGAACTGGGACTGGAGCTCTTGGGCTCCCTCAGACGAATTGATGATCTGGTGGTATACCTACCCTCTGAAAAATATGAGTTCGTCAGTTGGGATGATTATTCCCAATACCCTCTGGTAAACGTTTACATAACTATGGAAAATCATCATTTTTAATGGGTAAATCCACTATATGGAAAAATAAAATAAGCCGACGTAGATCCCCAACAGCGGTTGGTTTCAAACAGTGGTCCAACTTTGCAACCCAAGACGGATTAATGATGGCAGGAACAGGATTCCATAGCCTAAGTCTCTTCGGCGATTTTTTGCCCACCCTGCCCCGTCCCCTTTTGGACCAAAGGCAGGATGAGACATGTTCTTTAAGAAAGCGCGCATAATTGAATTTACATACATTTGGTTACAAACGAATGGCAGTATTTGCAGACCACGGTGTGTCATTAAGTGTTTACAAAATTGTGTGTGTGTTGGTTTGGGATTATCTTGTCGTGCTTGGACAACGTCGGTCAGTTTGCGCAAGTGATTGGTGAAACAGTTGGTTTTGGCCAAATTGTCCATCATGATTCCAGAATTAGTTTCATGTCAATACTTGGTTGTTGTGTCACAACTGTGTCTGAAGTTTCATTGTGTGTTGCTGTTTGGTCACTTAGCTTTAAAAAAATCATCTACCTGGCTTCGAGAAGCCTCACACAGGTTTGCTGCCAATATTTAGGTGTTCCAAGGCATCGAACTTAATTGCTTGATGTGGCATGTGCTTTGGTAGATGCGACATCGGAACAGTTCAAACAGAAGATTTTACAGCAACATCAGAACAGGTCAGTCGACCGACGCTGTGCGCCCACTGAGCAAACGAACATGAATCGGCATGTGCGGAACCCGCCACAAAGCACCCAAGATTGGCTGGGGGATTTCCGGAATCCCTTGTGTTCCTGGAACCTTGTCTTCCTGGAACCCTCGTTTCCGGAACCTTGGCACAACCCACAGCGTATATTGGAACCCTGGGTTTGCGGAACCGAGACGCGCTGATTTATTGTCACGCTGTGCCCCCCCCTGTCAGCGATTGCTCGTTGACAGGGCCTATATGGTCCTGGAACCTTGGTTTCCTTGAAAATTGGTTTTCTGGGACCCTGTCCGTAGCATGAACCTTGGTACAACCCACGGCGTATATCCGACCCCTGGGTTGTTTCCGGAACCTCGGAACCTTGCCAGAACCCTGGTTCTCTGGAACCTGGGCTGGGCTTCTTGAAAATTGTTGTTCCGCAACCTTGTCCCTGTCCGGAACCTGTGGCATAATCCAGGAAGTATATCCAAACTGTGGGTCCGCATCCGCGGTGGTTCTCGGAACCTTGTCGGAACGGATTAATGATGGGAGGAACAGGATTCCATAGCCTAAGTCTCTTCGGCGATTTTTTGCCCGCCTTGCCCCCTCCCCTTTTGGACCAAAGGCAGGATGAGACATGTTCTTTAAGAAAGCGCGCATAGTTGAATTTACATACATTTGGTTACAAACGAATGGCAGTATTTGCAGACCACGGTGTGTCATTAAGTGTTTACAAAATGTGTGTGTGTGTTGGTTTGGGATTATCTTGTCGTGCTTGGACAACATCGGTCAGTTTGCGCAAGTGATTGGTGAAACAGTTGGTTTTGGCCAAATTGTCCATCATGATTCCAGAATTAGTTTCATGTCAATACTTGGTTGTTGTGTCACAACTGTGTCTGAAGTTTCATTGTGTGTTGCTGTTTGGTCACTTAGCTTCAAAAAATCATCTACCTGGCTTCGAGAAGCCTCACACAGGTTTGCTGCCAATATTTAGGTGTTCCAAGGCATCGAACTTAATTGCTTGATGTGGCATGTGCTTTGGTAGATGCGACATCGGAACAGTTCAAACAGAAGATTTTACAGCAACATCAGAACAGGTCAGTCGACCGACGCTGTGCGCCCACTGAGCAAACGAACATGAATCGGCATGTGCGGAACCCGCCACAAAGCACCCAAGATTGGCTGGGGGATTTCCGGAATCCCTTGTGTTCCTGGAACCTTGTCTTCCTGGAACCCTCGTTTCCGGAACCTTGGCACAACCCACAGCGTATATTGGAACCCTGGGTTTGCGGAACCGAGACGCGCTGATTTATTGTCACGCTGTCCCCCCCCCTGTCAGCGATTGCTCGTTGACCGGGCCCTTTTGGTCCTGGAACCTTGGTTTCCTTGCAAATTGGTTTTCTGGGACCCTGTCCGTAGCATGAACCTTGGTACAACCCACGGCGTATATCCGACCCCTGGGTTGTTTCCGGAACCTCGGAACCTTGCCAGAACTCTGACCTTGTCCCTGTCCGGAACCTGTGGCATAATCCAGGAAGTATATCCAAACTGTGGGTCCGCATCTGTGGTGGTTCTCGGAACCTTGTCGGAACCCAGTGTTGCTGGAACCTTGCCAGAATCCTGGTTCCCCAAACTCTGGGTTTGCAGGATGTCTCAAAATTGGTGTTCCGGTGATTCCAGAACTTTGGCACAATCCAGGCTCTGGCTGCTCGAAACCATGGTAAGGTTCCCGGAACCTTGTCGAAAGCCAAGTGTGCCCGGAACCTTCCCGGAACCTTGACGTCCCGGAACCCAAAAGGTAGCCAGAACCCATTGTTCCCAGAACCTTGCTTGAAAGTCTGGTTTGCGGAACCTTGGGTTCCTGGAACCTTGCCCCGAACCCTGGTTCCCGGAACCCTGGGTTCCCGGAACCTTGCCCCGAACCCTGGTTCCCGGAACCGGTTCTCGGAACCCTGGTTCCCGGAACCGGCGAAACCGGAGCACCCCGAAGGCTATGTGGGCTGAGACCCCAAAGCATTCTGCTGTTGGGGAAAAATGTTCCAAACCACCAATCAGTGATGAATTGATCATGAATTGATGACTGTCACTGAACAGGTCATCTTGGTATAGCTGCTGGTCATTCTCTAAAAGGCGACAGTGGAGCACAGCCTTTTCAGCAGTACATAGGTCTGACCACTGTAATGTGCCTTGATGAGCAATGCCCTGCTTAATGTCAGTGGGACGCATCTAAATTGGTCCAATATTAGCCTCCACGTAGAACACCAGCTTCCCCATAAAATCCATAAATGAACAGAGACGACTTGGATGCAATGCTTCACCACAACTTGTGTCACTATAACCAGAAATTCTGTCCCAAGTGTGCTTGCGATTAACCCTGTGGCAACCACAATAGTCTTTGGTGATGTTTGGTGATATAATTATATACCATCGAATAAGTTCCATGATCTGCCCATCATTCCCATGATCTTCCATGATCTTCCTAGACAAATAATATTCTACTTCACTAGACTGAAACGTGCCGTCATTTTGCGATGTGTTGATTTTGTTCCACGAGCACAAGGGGCTACAGTTTCTACGCATACCGCCAGCACGTCGCCGGGTGGATTCTAAACATCAAGACTGAAACAAATATTCGAAAATTGGGAATTTAATGGAATTTAGAGTAGCACTGCTAGAAGAAGCGCATAGATTGGAAGTCAAACCAGATGCCAGCCTCACTGAAAATACATCGCCCCAATGAAACGAAATATTACCCCAATCCAAACCATCATTTACTTCCAGTGATGTCGCGACGTGAGATCGTTATAATTTATCCGGAGTAGCCCCCTCATATGTCCATTGTTCAACCAATTTTGGTGGTAAGTCAGCATTTATCCCAATGAAGGTCCATTGAAGTTTCTTCAAAATCCAATAAACACCAATAAACATCAATAAACCACCATTAAATCCATCGAAAATTGTGAAAATTCTTCGACCCAGCTGCGACTTTGCCAAGTCTTTCGCCAGCGAGGTGGTGGGTCGCGTCTCATGTGCCTGGCCGTCAGAACCTGGCGTTCCGATATGTTCCGATGCCAGATGGGTAGAACAGTCATATTATCACAATCAAGTAGGATCAAAAACCACTTGCCAAATCCCTGAACTAATGATTGGTGAATGGGGATGAATGGGGATGAATGGGGCAGATATGCAGATTCCCAGTTCACGGATGATAATCCTTCGCATGTTGGATCATCTTGGGATAATTTGTGTAGTTTTTCGCCCCCTACCCTGTAACTAATCATCAATTTCTCTATCTGTGGCCCGAGCCAAGAATGAAGACTGGGGCGGCATCCGTCTCCCAACAGTTGGGGCTCCTGTTGCAGCAAGAAGTGAACTTTCGTGACAGCCGTCAAGAAAACATGAGCAAACTTGTTCAAAGATTGTTCAACCAATTTCAACACTCCCCATACAATCATGATGGGGGAAGAGGCTGCAGTTGTTGGACTTTGTCCAAAGTTGTCAACCCGCTGTTTCGATTGGTTGGTCAGGAATACGATTGGAACATGTAGGCTGGAAATATGCGGCCGTGAACCAAGAACCAACAAAACCCACAAAGTCCGAGGTATGCGGCAGTTCATCCTCAGTTTTTCCAAAGGGAGGCATCTTCACAGCCATCCGACAAGAAGGGCCCCTCACCATGTGCACCTTGAAGCCTCCGTCCAGGCTTCTGCAATATCTGCCTAGGCGAGAGGCTTGGCAAAGTCTCAAGCGTCGGTGTGAAACTAGCAAAATCAAAGGAGTTCGCAGTGCTTAGTAGTTCAACCCGATGGTCCTTTACAGATTCCCCATTCCGACCCGCAATTTGCTGCAACGGTGTCATCGTCATGGTATCAACATGTATCAACCCAAAAAGGATGCAGGACGGCAACAGGCTCTGGTAAATGGATGTCCGTGATTTTCTGCACCCCACCAACCCCAAAAACTAAATGCCGTTGCTTGGTTTAGGTCTAGGTTGAAATCATTGGCAAATGTCATGTGCTGCTGACTCCTTGGTGCTGTCTGGCGAATTCATTCGTTCCATTCTCTGATATCAAAGTGTGCCAGTGGTGGCTGTGGCCAGGGGCTATGGCCACATAATAAACCCACGTTTCCAAAAGAATGATCTCTGCGAAACTCTCCCACCAGGTTTTTTTCTGAATTTGTTAGCATATGTTAGAATGTAGAATCTTGAAAAAACTGGATCGTGCTTGAATTGGGGTCAAGATTTGGAACCCCACCCGTCATATGGCTGCCCTTATGACGATGTTCCATCGTCATCCAGCCCGTGCTGGCAATAACATCATTGTACTGTATAAGTTTTTAGATTTGTCAGTGACAGTACAGTAACCTAAGTAATCTATATTTATAATCTACTGGTATGGGATCAATGAATATGACGCACAACTGCCGGAGATGAAAATAGAAATAACAAAATATAATCATTGATATACCACATTTCCGGTAGCAAAAGAGAGCAGTAAAAACAACATATTCTTATGTGAATTGTTCTGAACTTTCCTTAAGTTCGTCATCAAATTATCGTTGGTATTACATGCCATCATAGGATGCTTCCCCTCCTCAGGAAACCGTGTGTTTTATCATAATTGTCCTCATCAAAGTTGCCGCAAAAGGGTAGCTCAAACCCAAATATCTCTTATTATTGGATATTGGATGATATTGGTAATTTACACCAGTATCATCCAGCATCTCATATTATATGTCACTCTTGCACGCGCTGAACTCATTCTTTTCTGGTTGCGCAAGTCCTTCAGATCCGACGCTTCACCATGCCACATGATGTTTTATTTTCAACATCATGTCTCTGATTTTGCATAGAAAGATTTCTTCCATGCAATTACCAGCTTTGCATTGAACCTTTCCATTTGCACTTTCCCTTTTGTTTTGAAAGGAGGTGCCTGGGGCTGGTTGGGGGGATGCACAAAGCTGGTATGGTGGTTTGAGCCCTTTAGGCTACACGCGGGGCAGCCGTGACGATCAGTGAACACGTTCAATTCCTCGTCACTCTTGCACGCGCTGAACTCATTCTTTTCTGGTTGCGCAAGTCCTTCAGATCCGACGCTTCACCATGCCACATGATGTTTTATTTTCAACATCATGTCTCTGATTTTGCATAGAAAGATTTCTTCCATGCAATTACCAGCTTTGCATTGAACCTTTCCATTTGCACTTTCCCAACTTTAGACAAATGAAAAGGTGAATACCATCAAATCTAACGCGAGATGTATTACCCAATCTATTTTATAACACATCGTTTATTTCTCCCCGTCCTCACCATGGATCTTTCCACTTCATCTCGCCCCTCTTCTTATTGCTGGTCGTCTTGGCTTCTTCCGCCATCGCCGACCTCTTCGCTTCTTTCGAAGTTTTGTGCAATTTCAATTCACTGTCCAGTTCCCCTGCCTTGGTCATCAGCCGATCCAGAAGAACAAATCTCAAGTCTTCGAACTGCACATTGATTCTCCTACTTTCATCAAACTCTTCATACCGTGAATTTGTCAATGCGTCAGCTTCTTCATTTTGACAACGCGGCACCCATGAAAGATCTAGTTCCACCTTGGCAATCTCCAACTGACAAGCCAACTCCATTGCTACTATTGAAAGTGGAAACTTGCTGGATCCAAACTTCTTCAGAACATGCATGTTCGAGAGGTTGTCTGTGAAGGCAGGCAACACCACCTTTCTGCGCCCATCCTTCCATGGCGCATCCCTGGAAAACAACATAATCGCAGTGAGCACCGCCAACAACTCCAAACTGGCTATCGCCCTGAAAGGATCTCCACGCAGATACGCCCAAGGGACTGTTCTCCTCGACAAGGCTATTGAAAACCAACGTGCCTGTTTGGTGTGCACGTTCCCATAACTTTCCCAGCCTCCAATGACGATCTCTTCGCCTGCTGCCTTTGCGTCGATCCTGAAGCAGTCTCCCTCCAAGACCGGTGGCCTCGTGGCTGCTCTCATGGGGCACCTCTCCACTTCCATCGACACAAACTCCAGCAAGATCACTACCGCATCTGGCATCTTGGTGAACTTGCCACCTGAAACCATAGACGTCCAGGCGAACAGTGGTCCTAAGAAAGGCCGAACGTGCCTGAGAGCTCCCGCTACAAAAGTCAGTCTGCCCAGAGCTGCACGCATCTCACGTCCCACAACTCCTCCTTCTTTCAATCTAGCGGCAACCCAGCTCCTGACCCATTCTTTCTTCCGGTCACTGATCCCCACTGTAAACTGCTGCACATCAAGCTGGTATCCAATCCATTGCACCACGCAGCCACCTGACACCTTCTTCCAGCTAATCGGGAACTCAAACAGATCCAGCACAAAGAACCAGTATAGGATTTTGCGCCAGAACCACCTGCCGGTAGCTGTCAGCCACCCATCATCAGCGAACAATAAATGCCACAAGCCCAAGTGCTCATCTGCGAGGTTGTGCGCTAATCTCACTGCTGACGCAGCGCAGCGCCCCCACCAGTATGCTGCTGATGCCACTCCAAAGGTTCCTCTCGTATGCAGATATACTGCAGACTCCTCCTCTGGCGTTTCTTTGGGCCCCGGCAATCTGAATGCCTGGTACCCCCAATCCATCCTTCTCACCGGTATCAATTTGTGCGCACGCGCTATGTCGTACACCATTGAGAACCTCACCTTCTGCACCTCTCGATCCACATGGTCCTCAACTGAGCACATCACTGCTGCAGCATCGTCAATCAACGGAAAACGCATCCTGTCTCTCACTCGGATGCGCCTGTTGATATCCACACTGTAGGTGCCATCATGGATCAACCTGACCCTGTCGCTATTGAGCTCCTTTGGAACCGCGCCCAAAGCCGCTATGGCCAGCCTTCCACCAAACTCTCGCTGCGCCTCCTCCATGGACATCTTCACGATGCTGCCCTTTTCCACCTCCTCTAGCACTTGTCGGCGTATGTCCAAGTGGCTCTCCTCAGCCGATGCATAGTTTTCAGATACCACATCATGGTATTCCTCCTCCGTGCCTTCCACCGCCCATCGGGTCTTCTCTTCAAACACGGCTTCCGTCCTCGGCAGCTCAACCTCCACACCGATCGGGACCCCAACCGATGCCACCTCCTCCAAATAGGAATAGTCCACATCCCCCATAAGTTGAAGCGCTGCAGCCAACCTCCTGAAGTTCACCTCAGTGTCACGGTCAGTCTCCCGCCTCAACGGTTCAGCACCTTCAGCCAGCATATAATCGTCCAGCCGCTTTCTGCAATCCTCCATCGCTTCCTGAAAGGGGGATGATTGCATCTTGCCTGCTGCCATCCTCCAGAACAAGTCTTCAGGGCCCTTTGACGCATCTGCACCTGGCTTTGACAACCATCTGAGGAAGAGCTTCTTCACCTCGCACCGAAGTCCCAGGGCTGCCGGCCCTTGAGCGCCCCACCGTTTGTCGGGCCTCCACCTGCCGGGAGAACAGATTCCTCCTCCATCATTGATAGGACGAGAGTCGCCCTTGTAGTAGGCCAAAATCGGCGGCCCCTGCCCTCCTGTCGTGATGGTACTCTTCCCACGTTGTAAGTTGGGAAGCTCCATGGGCAGGTGATCTTGGGACTTTCGTTTTGCCCTCGAGGTGGCCCCTTTCGAAGTTGTCTCTTCCGCCTCCACTGCACCAACAACTTCTTCCTCCCCCTTGCTGACAGCCTTTTCCGGGATTTCGGACCCACCCTCTGCTCCTTTCCCAGCTTCAGAAGCAGAGAGTGGGGCCTCCATCAACCATCGAAGGATGCCAGCCGCCAAGGCTCGGTCCATCTCAGGCGGATATGCAGATGTACCTGAAGTGCGAAAGGCAGTGTCATCTCGCTGCCTCGCCAGGGATTGTGTGGGCGTGCAACTGCAGGACTTGACCAATGGCCCTGCATATCTGCCGTCATGCGAAAATGACGGCCATTCATGAGAGCCCCAAGCTTTGACCTCGGGAATGTTGGACAGCAAACGGGTTGGTTTTCGATATGGCGCACCGAAGCAACACTGGCATATTGCTATAGTGGCCAGCTGCAATGGTGATTCCTCATCCACCAAGCGTCTCAACTCCTCCAACTGCCAAATGCTCGCTGGATAAAACACCTTGTTGTCCTCCTCCCTGAAAATGACACCCAAATCTTCTGGGTGTTCGGCGAAAACTGCGCACCATGCTCGCCCGATCTTCCTGCTCTGTACATCTACCACCAGCAGCACTTGAATGGTGAAACGCACCAAAGTGTTGCCCACCTCGATTTGTATCTTGAAGCGATGCGCCAACCACGGAAAACCCCATGGCCATTGCTTGGATCTGATCATAGGTGGGCCCCTGGTGTTTGCTCCTCTAACTCTGGACCAAGTGCTGCAAGGTGGTGTGATCAAAATAGCTGAATAGAGCCCTTGCTCTACTGCCTGTAAAATCTTCTGTTGATGGGCCAAAATGGCCATGTCTTGAGATGGATCCCTGCAAATGTCCACCTCGTCAATCTCCACTTCAGTGCCTTGCTCAAATGCCAGCACCTTTAAAATCTCTGCCGCTGAAGTCTTCCGCTGTTCTCCGCTGAAGAGATAGAGCACTCTGCAGCGTCTGCCTGCCCCTGTTGATCCGGGAGGATTCGGGGCCTTGTCCTCCCTTCGTGTTTGTCAAGCTTTGGGTGCAGGAGGATCTCCACCTCCTGCCGTGTCCTTCTTGATCTGAGGGCAACTGTGAGCTGGGTGCTTGTCAAAGCACCGCTGGCAAATATGAAGCCTGCCGCAATCAAACCGGCAGCGCTGGTTTGGAGAGTTCCACTTCCAACAGATTTGCCGACCATCTGGAGACCGGTCGTGCAGCCCACTGCTTCCTCCTCCCTTTCCTTTTCCGCCTCCTTTTCCCTTGCTGCCACCTTTGTTGTTGCGGCGATAGCTCTGCCAGCCTTTGCTTTGCTGCTGCCAACCGCCAGGGCTGCGAGACCGATGGCCTCCATCTTTGTCTCCATGATTGCTGCTCTGCTTCGACGAACTGCCCATGACTGCCATGACATTCGGAGTGATGAAGTATCGCTCCTTGATGGCTGGATCTGCCATCACTGCTGCGATTGCTTCCACCATGCTCTTCCCTTCATTGACATAGCGCACCATGTAGCGCCTCATCTGGAAGTCATATGCCATCACCGTGCTGAGGTCTGGAGTTGCCACACACTCGCCGTCTTTGTTGGTTGCCTTAAGTCCATGGACGTGCTCGCCCAGCAAATACTCCACATAGCGAAGGAAGTGCCGTGGCACCAAATCCTTCAGCACCGCTTTCTGGGGAAACTTCAACTGCCCCAGCAGGTAGCAGTTGGCCAGAACTGCCATGCGCCTCCTGAGCTCCTCTGGTGACTTTGGTTTGGGACATTCTCCATAACCCTTTCTAACCTTGATTGCTCCAGTGGAACGCTCAATAGTCGCTCCAATGATCTCACTCTCTGAGTCCTCCTTTGATACCATTTGCGTCAAGGACATCTGTTTCAGCTCCCCCGCCTCGATCTGGTCAAAGATCAACTCCAGGGTCGAGGTTGCCGGGGTTGTCTTGTCATCCAATCTGTATCCGTGCAAAGTCTCAAACCGTATCAACAAATCTTGCACCTCCACTTTTGGCACCGCTCTCGGGATGCTTGCTAGGCTAGCTTCCGCCTCTGCATTGTGGCGCACTTTCATTCGTGTTGTTGAGGCTTCCCATGCATCCACCACCGAGGCCACATCTACCATATCATTCACTGCATGCAGAGCCAACCTATTAGTGCAAAAGTTTCTGATACCAGCTCGATCATCTGCAATAGTGCTCAGTTTGGAGATGCTCCTAACCCTTTCGACAGAAATCTTTGCCTGGATCTCTTCGCTCACCTCCTTGATCTGCAAAAGACCATGGAGGTCCGCGTCTAGCAGCGCTATTGCTCTGGCCCTCCTTTCGGGCGTGTCATGCCCTATATCGCCCATCTTGCTGAGCCAAGTTCTTCCACTGCCCACATGAATCATGCACCAAATCACACCGCTGCCGATCAAATATGAAATATACGCGTCTCACGAAATATATATATACCTATAGAAGTATATATATATATATATAAAATCGCCACAGATCAAACATGCCGTCGTATGCAAATATGTCTCGCTCATGCCAATGTGAATGCAAACGACCTGTGAACCTTTTCAACCTTCAACTTCACTCAACAGTTCCATCTCATGCAACCATTGCAATGTCCAACCGCCGAAATCTCCCTTTCGACAGCAAATATCTTATTTCACTCAAATCTCTCTTCTGACTCCAAGTGCACAAGACTCAAGTCCCGTGCATTCGCAGCTTTCTTTTGGCCGGCCCGTGCAGTGGTCCTTTCCACCACACCTATCCAGTTCCAGCTGCCTCTCCTTCGGAGCTGCTGCTGTCAGAAGAGCTTACACCCTCGCTGGAATCAGTATCTTCCACCGAGATCAGCTTGCTATCATCAGGGAAACAGATCGAACAGGTCTTATGATACTTGCTCGTGCAGGGCACATCTTCGCCCAACACCTCAAACCTCTGGTAATGAATCCCGGGCAAACGATGACATTCCCCTACCTTATGTAAGGTCTTAGTCGACGACCTACCGACTATGCTACAAACGAAAAGGCCTCTCAGCTTCTCCGCATCATCTTGCTTCAGCCGGTCATCCTCACCTTCATTCCAGTCATCGTCATCTGCGTTGCTTGGCACCGCATCATCGTTGCCCAGCCTCACTCCAATTGGACCCTCCATAGCCCACCGCACCCTAAGAGGTGCATCCACCCAGCCACCAGGTTCAGCGAAAGTCCTGAGTTGTTCCATTTGTTCCTGCACGCACTCGTCAGGGTGCCCCATTTCTTGCATCTTCTTTCCGATGAACCTCAGGACAGCTTCTTCATCAAACGGATCCTCACGGCCCGTATTCATCCTGATGAACTCCGCAATGACCCGATGGCTTCTAAGCACATTTGCCTTGGTGTTGCGCTCATATCCTTCATCTATCGAAGGTCTCCATCTTCCCAGCTGCCGGCGCACATCCTCAGGAACTCCTGAGCCTTGACTCCATGTCCGCAAGGTAGCCCTCTCCGAGTGCTCTGTCCATGCGGTCCCCACTCCTTCAAAGAGGAGGGAAACCTTCCTGCCACGATGTGCCACCCATAGCTGGGTGAAGACCGCCTGTGAAATCGCCGAAGCCAGAGCGTAGGAAACCATCCGACGCGTGAAGCCTGACTCATCTGAATTCGGCGCTGGGAGAAAGAAGTCTCTCCCTTCCAAATGAGCTTCCGTCTCCATCCGTTTCCAAAGGTTCCAGCCAGTCTTCAACCAGTTGCTATCTCGCAGCCAAGCATACTTGCTAACATGGAAATGCAAAATGCCCAGCTTCTTGCCTGCACCTGATGTCTTGGACTTGTGTATCTCCCCTGTCAGCCCCTCACCACTGAGGCACATGGAGCTCGCTGGAACACCCTGCGTATCATTGAATCTCATGCCAGACCACACCTTGACTAAACGATACCAGCAATATGCTCTCACGTAGTTCGAAGCTGCTTCGTCTGTCACTAGCCTTTCCATGCTCGCTATCAGCATGACTGGCATCAGCTTGGCTTGCCTCTTCTCCTTCAAAGCCACGCTCTCCAACTGCAACTTCGCTTCTTCCAGCATGTTCTTCAAAGACCCATGTTCTGACAGTCGTTCTCCGTCTGGGACCTCCCCAGCAAATTCCAGAAACATCAAAGTTCTATAGAAGCTATCTAACGATGTTCTGGAGCACGGCTCTGTCAACCGTGCCTCCATATATGCCACCACGTCATGAGGATGTCTAGGCCATGCTACATTAAAGGTTCCCTTGAACCATCTTGCCGCCATGTTCCAAGTCTTGACATGCTTTCTCAAAGTGGAAGCCCTCCTTCCTTTCGCAAACCTTGAATCACTGAGATCTCCGGCCAGTTTGTTCTCTCCGGCCGGCATGCCCGACCTCGCTATGATCTGCTTCAGCTCGCCCAGCCACCTGCTCCGCTCTTGCCTCTCGGCCAGCTCACGAAGATTGAGATCCTCTCCAGCCAATGCTTGCTTCCTCGCCAACCTGGTGGGCAGGCGGATTCTCGTGGCTTTGCCCTTCTTGGGCAAAGACTTAGCCAAGTTGGCTGATACCTGTTCCTCATTCAACTTTCTTCTCTTCTCTAAGATCGCCTTCCGGCTGGCAACCAATAGATCTGCATCGGGTTGCCTTGCCTCTATCCTCCATGTCTCCTTCAGACCATCAGCTAGGTCTTCCACCATACCAGCAAACGCGGCACCATCTAATGCTTCCAATCCTGGGTACTTTCTGAGCTTTTCTACCAGCTCCAAGGTATCCGCTGGACCCAAGTCACTGAGAGTGGCCAATCTAATATCTGACCAACCCAACGATGCTAGTGCCGCTCTCTCTTCGTCGGTCACTCCTACATCCCAATCCAGCTCGTACCCATCCATCAATTACGGCGCAGCTTGATCCCTACAGATGCACAAAGCTGGTATGGTGGTTTGAGCCCTTTAGGCTACACGCGGGGCAGCCGTGACGATCAGTGAACACGTTCAATTCCTCAATATAGAATATATCCATCATACATCTCCATGACGTCCACCTTGAAACTCTATACTGTGGGCTCAAGGCAGCTCGGGTTTTCGAGACAACTTCCAGCTCCCTCCGAGGCAGCCAACCATGACAATCTGACGAGCCTCAGTTGCTCCCCATGCCCCCCAGACTCCCGAAGAACCGATAGAAGATGAATCAAGATGATACAAGTACCAAGTCAATCCGAGTTGTAATTAAATTGGCCCAACAGAGAGACATTGTATGACATTGTGGCATTGGCAATTTGCAACACCTCAATTCTTGGCAACTTGTTGACCGCCTACCGCCTACCACATTCCTGGGCATCGCAGCGTCTCCCGATCTCTTCAACGCGCGGGCAATGCGTCTTGGGCCAACAGCTCAAGGTCCATAAGCTCGTGCAAATGGAGGGAGTCAGAACGAGGATATCAAAGGGATGCACTCAAGCTGACGCGGAAGATTATGAAATATGTCTGCTTTTCTTGCATTTTTTGCAGCTCTGGTGTCCAACTGACACGAGAAAGAGTGCGGCACAACTTCGAGAGTTGTGTGCATGGCAAGGCGAAAGTGCTGGTGAAAGTGGTGAAAAATAGGCAGCTTTGACACAAATCGCACGCGCCGCTGCCTTGGATCCTAACTACGCCTAACTACGGTGCCCACCTTGCGGTGCGCAGAAAGTTGGAGCTCCCACATGGAATCACTGAGTGATTACAGTCATCTACTCATTAGATGCATTCAGATGGTGGTTGTTAATGTTATCATCATGCGTGTTAAATATCATTATGATATATTATTATTACAATCATCATTGTTATCCGTTTGTCATGATCATTATTATACTATTTTGCTATTTTCATCTATTTTCCTACTAATTCTGCCACAATTATTCATCATTCGGTAGAAACACATGTCACACCATCTCATCCCTGCTCTGGAAGTAATATATGTGGGACCATGTGGGACCTCCTTTCTCCGACGGCATTCTACGAGGTTCAACGATATTCAACGCATTCTACGTAAAGGTTCAAAGCGTTTTACGAAGTTCTGCGAGGTTCTGCAAGGTTCTGCCAGGTTGCGTGGTTCCCACGCACCCTGTGCTAAGGGTTCGACGTATTGAACGAAGGTTCAGTGAAGTCCAACAAATCAAGAAAAGTCGGACACAAGTTTGTCAAAGTCATATGTGCAAAGAAAATTATTGAACTTGGCCGCCATGGCCGTTTGGGATGCGATATGGATGTTCGCACCACACGAATTGCCGATGGGCAACCAAGTGACTGCGATATACTGCGACCTTCACAAGTCAACCGAAAATTCCTTTGATCTGCATCCCGAATTGGAAAATCATGCAAAATCGATGAATTCCTAGTGCAGTCTATCTCCGAGTCAAAACACCCGATGGTGCAGAACAAACAACAAACCTCTGGATTGCAATGCAGGCAACCATGTTTTCTTACAAGTTTTCAAGCCTGCGCTGAACAGCCATGTCCATGGTGTGATGCCACAGATTTGTCACGCATTTGCCCTGTGCACTTGCACTGCACTAGTACCTGTTTAACGGTTTTAGATGTACTTCAAGCTTGCGAGTTTGGGTTATATCATGATATCTTTAATCAGACCTGACGATTCAAATCGAAGTTCATGACGGTGACACGATCAACATCTCTGAGGTTTGCAGTTTGCGCCACGTCGTCAACTCACAAATGGCACACAGTCTTCCACGTCCAAAGACCTGAGGACAATCAAACGTGGCACTTAAGATCGGACCAAAACTACTGTACGGGACATAGCTGATCATGAAGTGATGCAATTGGGAGCAACGTTTCCAATCTACACCTACAATGTCCTGCAATACACCACTTCTTGTGAATTCCCGAAGTTTCGTGATGCGTGTGATTATTTTTCCCACTCTGGCGCAACGAACCGTGTGCAGCCGTGCAACCTAAACTGTTTGCGGTCTGCGAGCCTGCAGTGGCGAAGTGTCACTTTGTCCAAACTAGGCAAAATACCGCCTCTCACCGATAGATACATGTTGATTTGGATCCTGGTTATTCATCATCATCGTCGTCATCATCGTCATCGTCATCGTCATCGTCGTCGTCGTCGTCGTCGTCGTCCTCATCATCATCATCATCATCATCATCATCATCTTCCTCCTCCTCCTCCTCCTCCTCGTCCTCCTCCTCCTCCTCCTCGTCGTCGTCGTCGTCTCATCATCATCATCATCATCATCATCATCATCATCATCATTATCATCTCGTCATCATCATCATCATCATCATCATGATTATTATTACTATCATTATATATCATTATCATCCCTATTATCACCATCATGCATCATCATGCATCATCATGCATCATACATCATGGATCATGGATCATGCATCCTTCATGTTCCATCCTCCACCATGGGTCATCCATCATCCTAATCACCACCTCCACGAGCATTAGCGCCATTTCAATGGACATCGTCGCCATTGCCATGAGCAAATGCACGTACATCACTATTCTTGCTTGCGACAGATGTGTGTATGCCTGTATTATGGGGGGTCGCTTGTTGCAAAACTACAATTTGAACTTATATATACAGTGTATATATAATATAATATATTATGCACACCAAAACGTTTCATGAACGGCTGCCCGCCTGGGCGTTTGCGAGCAGGACTGCCCTGTCGCGCAAACACATGGACCCCAAGCAGATGAATAACCCTGACGCGGGTGATCCTGGTCCTTTTTTGTGGTAACGGCGGCAGATTTTTGGACTACTGCAGCTGCAAGAATGCCATCCTAATACAGCCTCGAAAAGACACCAGGCCTCAAGAATGTCACTTGGTGCCAATAAAGCTGCAAATTCACAACAGTACGGGGAAAAGTCCAGTCATCTATTGATTGTCAGCCATCAAAATCCAGGTTTTGGATGTCAGCGGTCTGCGCCTGATTTCTTGGATGCAGTCGTCCGGAACGCTTTGAAAGGACAGGTCAATGTCCACGACTGCACCAGATTTCTTGAGGGCCGCAAGAATCCTGAGAAACGTCACAAGACACTCCGCAAAAGCTTGGCCAGAGATCGAATCAGGGTGCCGAAAGGATGGGTTCTCTTACTGAAAGCCACCAAAATGAATAGTGACAGATAGTGACAGGCTCAAACTGAAGATTACTATACAGTAGATACTATAGATTCATCATCCATATGCATCTCAACTCTTTTCAACAATCTTCCATCTTCACAACTCCTTTTTTCATCTTTTTTCCATTCCGTTTTTCTCACCAGATCGAGCCAGGCATCGCCTGCCCTCCCCGATTGGTGATACAATTCCCGGCCAAGTAGAGCTGGTTCAAGGCACCTCGGATCCAGACCGCTGGGATATGCCATGATATCCACTGGTAACTTATAACCCATGAAAAAAGTACGGCTGGTATTATGTGTATATAACATGTATATATATGACAATTATATTATCTATATTATGTATGCATATATTATACTATATTATATTATAATCCCCCTTCGGGAATCGGGGGGTACCCAAGGGACCTTGATTTTATAGTGCATAAAATGGTGGTACCCAGCCCCCCCCCTGTGGCACCTCTAAAAAATCAAAAAAACACCCATACCACCATGATTAATCATCTATAAAATCAAAAAATATATATAAACCCACCAAAAACACCCAAAAAACACGAGTGTCTATAAAATCAGGGTCACCAACGTACCGTTGGACAGCCTTTTAAGGCAGCATAACAGGTCTATAAAATCAAAAGTTCAATGACCCCCACTTTGAGGATTCAATTTCTGGATCCGGAAGATGCAAATGTTGCACTGCAACCTTTTGATTTTATAGTGGTTGTTGTTGTCCCTTTACTTTTTGATTTTATAGATCTGTTCCCATATTATAGTCTTATTATGTCTTAGTATGTCTTAGTTCTATGATGTTCTATGATGTTCTATGATGCATTATGTAGTTCAAGAGTCTCTCACCAAAGGTATCCCCTTGCATATTGGGGGGGAACCCTGGAGCCGCTGATTTTATAGCTATAATTTGGTGGGGCGCAGCCCCCCGATAACCCTGTCATTTCTATAAAATCAAAGTGTGCAGCCCTACACAGGGATGTACAAAGCTATAAAATCTAACAAGTATAGACTGCCCCCCAATACTGCAAAATGCCTATAAAATCAGGACACAACCTTGAAAATTTCCCCTTTTAAAGAAAAAATATGAATCCCAAAGATCACTATAAAATTCAGGACTGGGTTACCTCATTTTGATGGCAGCTCTCTCAGAGATTGTGAGCCGTATTTTTTTTGGGGGGGGGCTACCAACCATGATTTTATAGCAGAGAGATCCCCTTGTGAATTTCAAGAGTCTCCCAGAGACCGCCATTTTATAGAGGTACCTGGTTTCCACTATAAGGGTACATTCTGGGAATTTTTCTTAAACCAGGATAAAAATCAGATTGCAAGAAATACGACTCTATAAAATCAAAAAACAAAAAAATACCACATGAATACACATGCCTGTTTGTAACCACCAAAGTTCCCTATAAAATCTAGATAACGGGTGCAAGTTTTTTCCTTGAAGGTCATCCACCTGGTCCAGTACAAAATCAGGATCTCCAAGATGGTGGTTTTACAAAGTTTGTTGAAACATGTGCACCCTTACTATTGGGGTACCTGGTCTCTGATGTTATAGTTATAGTGGAACTGTTTGAAAGAGATGTCAATACAAGCTGGACCCGGGCCTTTGATTTTATAGAAAAGTTTCTTTTGGGATGGTTGTGGCTTGGGATACCATCAATTTCCATAGTTTGCTGAATCAGGTTCAATTAAATGAAAACAAACACCAGAACATGGAAAACAATTGCCATTTTGGGACACTTTTTTGGCACCAGGATTGTTGAAGCAAAATTTCCAGATGAAATCGAAAACTTAGTCACTGGTCCCTATTCGGGGGCCCTTCAAACATGAGTTATCAGTTATCCATTTCGGAGTGCTGTTGTGCCTCACTATATGGAAAGCTTTATATAAAGATGTTGGAAGCGAGTAATGACCCAATCTTGGAATTTAGCGCGGCGGGAGGTTACACTTTTAATTTTAAAGAGAGAGAGAGAGAGAGAGATTTGGTCCATATTGACGCCGATCACACGCGTGAACACGCGCAGTGCTCAAGCAAAAACTCTCTATAAAATCGACGAGTTAGTCTCTATTTGGGTGTCCTTCAAACCTGAACTGTCCATTTTGGAGTCCTGCGGTCCGCGGTGCCTTGCGGTATAGAAAGTGGCAAGGATGTTTGGGGCATGTACTGACCAAATTTTGGAGTTTAGAGGGCCAGGAGGCGGGAAACATATGTAAAGAGTCCATTTTCTGGATTTTTTTGAATCTTTTTGATTTTATAGAGGCAATGAGTCCATATTGAAGCCGAGTACATGCACCAAGTACCCCTACTGATTTCCGAATGATCCCCAATCCGTCCCAATTTCAAGCTGCTGAAAGGCAACGTCAACACGCGCAGTTCTCAAGCACAACCTCTCTATAAAATCGGCAAGTTAGTCGCTACCGGGGGGCCTTTCAAACCTGAACTGTCCATTTTGGAGTCCTGCTGAAACCTCTCTATAAAATCAAAAAAATCTTTGTTTGGGGGTCCTTCAAGCCTGAACTGTGCCTAACGATATGGACAGTGGCAAAGATGTTTGAGGCGTGTATTGACCAAATTTTGGAGTTAGAGGGCAAGGAGGCGGGAAACATATGAACAGAGTCCAATTTCTGGAACTTTTTGATTTTATAGCGGCCGCATTCAAAGGCACAACCTTTAAAAAAAGAACCAACAAAAAAATAATGTTTTTTTTTGGGGGGGAAGGGCTCCCAAGAGGTACCTGAAACCATCTAGAACTAGTTTGAAACCATCTCTATCTATCCATCTGTCTGTTTCTCTTTCTCTCCCTCGCTCTCTCTATCATATCTATCTATCGATTATATTCTCATTATCTCTAAGATGTGGATCACCTCAATAACTATCGCATTAGTCAGCTGCTGTATTGGCAGCTTGTTAGACGCATTCCCCGTCGGTCTTGATAAAGATGTTAGCGGGATGCGGAGATCGGTTACACAACAAATTTATCTCAAAAACCTTCCCTCTATTACGTCAGGATCAGTGGGCCAACAAATCAGAACCATGCCAAAATAAAAAACATCTCTATAAAGGTCAGGCGCCTGGGCCCCCCTGAATTGGTCATAAGCCACATGTTGGCCTACAAATGGTTTACAAAAGGCCTTCTATGAAATCAGATCTTTATTTCTGTATTATTTTTCGACGCTTTGTGCACAGACCTCATCTGACTAAAATTTCCATTTCAAACAATACATGGGTACTACCATTAAATATATATATATATAATATATATATATAATATATATTATATATATATATATATTATATATATTATATATATATATATTATATATATATATATTATATATATATATATTATATTTATTATATATATATTATATATATTATATATATTATATATATATATTATATATATATATATTTATTTATTTATTTATATGTGATTATATATGTATATAGGAAATAAAAAGGGGCATGCAGAGAACATAAACACCATACGCCAAACAACAAAGAGGGTAGGCATTTTGATTTTATAGATAGTGGGCCATGATTTGATGTGATTTGCATTGCTTGCCTTGCTAACCAGCACCCCCTGGTCAACTTGCAGGCTTTGATTTGAGCCAAACAACCAACACCGTATCTATAATATTAAAAACATTTGAAGACTATCAAATACTATCAAACAACACCAGAGGAAACCTATAAAATTAAAACAAAAAACAAGATCATCCATTTGTTAGTCCAAAATAAACCCACTATAAAATCATAACGCACAGCCTCCTCCAATCTGTTGCCCCCCAAAAAAGTCCCACTATAAAATCAAAACGCACAGCCTCCTCCAATCTGTTACTTCAAAAATAGATCCACTATAAAATCAAAATTTATGCCTTTGCATTCCTTGTTCACAATCAATCGTTCTATTCTATGAAATCAAAGTGTACAGTCCCCACGAAAAACATGAGATGTTGAATACTTGTTTTGTGACCACTTTTTGGACCAGGTGATTGCAATACTCTTATGATTATGGGGAACGCTTGCGCCTGATTTTATAGTTGAAATACCCGAGGGGATATCAAAACAATCAGGCAATTATTGTTCTGACGTGTTAGTGTCAGCCAGGATGTTACATGAACCCCCAGGATATTTATCTAATGTATTCCAACGATGTGTGCATGATTCACTGAAGCATCATTGACCGTGATTTGATGGGATTTGCATAGATTTACATTGTTTGCCTTGCTAACCAGCACCCCCTGGTCAGCTTGCAGGCTTTAATTTGAGCCAACCAACCACCACAGTGTCACACTGAGTCTACAATATCAAAAACATTTGAACACGATCAAACAACACCAATGACAACCTATAAAATCAAAAAACAACAACACAATCATCCATTGTTACTTCACAAAACAAAACACTATAAAATCAAAAACACAGCCTCCTCCAATCTGTTGCGTCAAGAATAGATCAACTATAAAATCAAAACTTCTTCCATCGCATTCCTTGTTCACAACCAATCACTTTATTCTATAATCAAAGTGTACAACCCCAAAAAAAAAACATGAAATTTCGGAATTTTGTTTTGTGACCACTTTTTAGACCAGGTGACCGCTATAATTTTCTGATTATGGGGGACGCTTGCGTGCCTGATTTATTCGATAGGGACACGGCAGGGTGTTTGATAGTCACCTGACCCTACCCCTGGGCCAAGCTAGTTTTTGAGCAAAATGGAAATGGTGTGCGATTGACAATTAGTCATATAAACTTATATAAATATATATAAATATAAATATATATATAGATAAATCAGACAAACAATGACAAACATATATAGCAAACATATGCAAACATCAGCAAACCATCACAAACCAACCTGCTTGTCAGATACTATCACTATAAAATCAAAAAGCTCAAGCACAATTTTTATATCTATAAAATCAAAAAGTCAACCTCCAGTGAAACGTGTCCACTTCAGTCCACTTTCAACATAGTAATCACTATAAAATCAAAAGGGAGGGGGGTACCCTGTACTTGCACCAGTCTATAAAATCAAAAAGTCAGGGACCCCAATGTTTTCTGACAACAAAATGTTTACGTAAAAAAATCAGTTTATACGGACCCTGGCGTCCCTGATTTTATAGAGGATTCCCGGAGGAGGATATATTATATATATATATTATATATATATTATATATATATTATTGTCTGAGCTGATATATAATGCTGAGACATCACCACTATGTCTGTATGGTATTTCCCATTATATCCCACTGAGTTTCGCAGGACTAGCTGATACAACCTGCTGACCCAGCGTTTAGACTCTGGATCGGTTGAGTGAAATTTTGATTGCTGTGAAATGCTGTCAAGATCTGTGAAGTAAGGGATAGGGTTTCTTCCGCGAATCTCAAGGCAGCTACAGAGCCATTTACTGCTGACTGAGTGAACAGTGCAACGAACTCATAAGAAATCCACCAATACGTCCTCAAAGCGCTCAAATGAGTTGCTTCAGGGATTATCCCAGCCTCGCTTGAATCTCTGCTCTATGTCTTGTCCAGGCGCATCCAGTTTCCAGCGCGGAGGCCAGATGGATGGCACCCTCATCATCAATGAAATTGTTGCACCTGGCAAGATGACAAATGGATACAAATGGATACAAATGGGCGATCATTTCGCATTCATACCCTGGGGTTAAAACACGAGCTGAGACCCAGCCATGTTTTCTTTGGCGTTTCAAAGTTTTCAAATCACTTCGACTTAGGCCGAGTCGCAAGAACAGCTGCGTCAGGGTGGAGTTCATCGTCAGCGCCTGCCAGGATCCGAAAAATCTCACAGGGCTTGGGTGTGTCCAAACATGAAGCAGAGCAAGACATAGCAAGGCCATCCAAACTTCCGGGATTCCAACAGCCGTGGCTAAGTGGAAAAAAAAAAGTATCTCAAAGTTGGGTTCCAAGGAAAAGGACCACAAACTGGTCAGATTGACTAAAAGCAACAGGGGCATGGAACTGGGGCTGTAACTGTAATTGCGGGCGCAACAGTCGTGTGGGCGAAATATGGGCCATCAAATGTACGTACAACAATGTGGGTCTGTTTGAAAATTAGGTATGAAAATGGCCATGGCAATTGGAAAATTATGATAAAAATCATCAAATTTTGGGTCACCTGTGTCCTAGGGCCAATGGCCAAATCCCATCCTCTGCAATGCGGGCAGCGCCACCAGACGAGATTCCATTGAAGTCTAACCTGAGCAGTTGCACAGCAGCAGATTGAATCGCCGTGGGAATTCAAGCACAGAAAATTTGACAGAATTATATGATATTATATGATTATATGCCTGAAAATAGGGTAGCCCTTAAAAATATGATGGTTAATCATTAATCATTCTATTCTCCCCATTCTGACTTTAATGGCCACAACTTAGATGGTACATCCAATGGTATTCCCCACTGTCAGACAGACCCAATCAGACCGTTGGTTACTGCAAATCCAAAAAAATGAAAGTATTCCCATGCATAGATATCCCCTTACAATAACCATCCATGGTGCATGTGAAAAACCCCTTGCTTCAGATGCCTTTCGCTGTTGTAGTACCCGAGGTCCAAGCTCCAACTTTTCGAGGCTGCGATTCGCCAACAAGATTTCTGACAAACATTCTGCACCTGGCTCCAAAAATGATTGCTATGGCTACAAAAAACCCCGAAACTGCCATTCGTGTGGAGGAGGCTGATGATCAACCATCAAATTTTGGGTGTGCCATATTTCGAGCAATAGCCTGAAGTCCCTGAAGCATCGAGATTGCAGTGATTGCACCTGCCCAAAGGTGAACTCTTATCTATGGTCGATGGTATGGATCCTATCAAAAGGAGATAATGGAACGACAAGTGCCCATGGCTAGGGTTCTTGGCCACTGTCGCGAGTCATTGAAACAAGTCGAATATGTCGAATCGAATGAAGCATGTTGACTCCCAAAAAACACACTGAAATGAAAGCCCCGCATCCACTAAAATGTCCGCCTCTGTCTCCGATCTTGCGATACCTTTTGCAAAAGGCCATATTTGTATGCATCCATGTCTTCAAACCTGTTGCTGACATACTTACTATTGGCAGTGCAAAGCTTGACAGACCCGCCTCAGATCCATCCGTCGCACGCAACCGGTCCTTGCCATCAGCCACATGGGTACGTCTGAGTTCACTGACCCAGCAAAGCGTGGACCCTGAGTTTTCCCCTCAGAACAGCCATATGGACTACTTTGGTTGGGGTATGTTGGGGTCTATTGTTTATTGATGTCTATTGTTTTCAAACATTGCAGTATCAAGCTGTACCTATGGTCACTCTTTCCATAGCTGGCCGCTCCCAGAAAGGATTCTTGACGTAAACTGATCTGATTTTTGGGGATTGAAAGTTGAAAGCCAGGGGGCTACTTTGAAGCGGCCAGCAACTCATTCCTGAACTTCTCTTCAAGTCCCTAGTAGTGTACAGATGTGTACAGTAATACCCTCAAGGCCTGGCCCTGCCCCTGCCAAGGGGCTTCAAGGCTTCCACAGCATGCTCCAGGTTTCGAGCGATGACCTGTCCATATGGACTTTTAGGGGTTTCTGGTGATGTGTCAAATCCCAAAAAACGAAATTGTATGGGAGTTTCACAGCATTTTAGAATATGTTAGATCTAAGTTGCTATTCAGCTACAGTAGTTAGCTGCTTTAGCAAGAACATCAAGCTCCGGGAGGTCACCAGAATAGAGGATCGCCAACTCAGGCTGTGATTTAGCAGTGGTATCCATTGGTAGTCTTAAGTTTGCCATTTCAAACCTGGCAGTTTATGAAGAATGGCCTGTCACGCAGTCACGCAGTCATGCAGTCATTTATGTTGGAACCAATGAACAATCGATGCTCTTCCATTAGCATTGTTTTTTGAAACTATGATGCGGGATAGTGGATCAATTTATGGCTAAAAATCCATGGAAAAAAAACAGGTGATATGCCTGATAGGAAAGCATGACAGCATCTCCAACCACCCGGAACCAACCCACAATGGAACCAGCCTTGGATGGAGGCTTCATCGGCGTCGGTTTCATCACCATGGCAAGGCCCACAGGGCTGCAGTGCTGCTGTCTAGCCAAGCTGGAAATCGCTGGAAATCAAGACCCTGAATCCTATGAAATCCTATGATCTTCTACAAATTCCCTTTATTTCCTGGAAATTCTACAAATCTCCCAGAAATCTTCTCCAGTGCACCTAGAAAAATGATGTTAAAAATGCATCTTCAAATGGATAACAGCTTGCACAACAAATATATATCTCGAGAGACGCTCCGTGGCCGGCTGCATGGTATGCGTAGCTGGAAAGGACGGGCGAGTAGTCCAACCCAGCAACTGAGGGGCTGATTTTCTTGGCGCTGTGGAGCCCTCGCATCTTTAGGAAAACTGGGATGCATTCAACTTGGTAACTACATCACAGTTTCCCAAACTGGACGATGAAAGTATAGGATATCTTCCAATTTCCACCGTGGAGTCATCAAAGGGCTGTTTTCATGACCTTTCGCAGCCTTTTCCTTCGAGACTCTGGCGCCAGCGGTCCTTCCCACTATCTCCGTGAGGAGAGGGAATTGAAGCAGAGCGACTTGAAGGATCAAAGCGTCCACGTACTGAAAAAGCTACAATTTTGGGATCCCAACGAAAACAATTGGAACAAAGGATTCAAGCATATTCAAGCCATCAAAATCGGAGAATATCACTGACAGAAGTCCCAACATGAGTACCTCGGCAAATTCCAAAGCCCCGGGCCCCAGGTTTGTGATTCATTGGCTTTGGTCCCCCGAGGTGTTTGCAGACCCAGAGAACTTGAGGAGCTTGAAGCTGTTGTGCAAAATCACAACATAAGAACACAATCACATTGAAAGTCATTAGGGAAGACACAAACTATACCAAACACATTCTTTGATTCTTTGCACAATTTGCATCAATTTGCTCGATGCAATGGCACTCTTGTGAAATCGTGAACCTTCAAGCACTGTCTCAGCCACGGCAATGGCTTGGTCATGTCGCAGGCGAACCCAAAGTGGCACCCAGAGCCATCCACAAACATATTCCCAAAAAAAAAAATGTTGGATCTACAGGTCACGTCACGTCACCATAGATATCCTTTAGATCCCTTTAGACTTTTGACAGCTTGGATTCTTCAGGGACACATCCGAAAAGCTCGCCGACTGCAACGTGGATGTGCCATCATTGGAACATGTCATCAGGCAATGGCCGACCAGATTTGAATCCTGACGTCCCCAGGGCCCCAGGGGACGGAAGAAGTGACGATCCTGTAGGAATGGGTCAAAACCATGGTACTCCAGTGGTCCAATCCCAAAAATGTTGCCAGAATATGCCAGAATCGTGGTTGTGGGATGTGAATTTGATATATTTGATGCATTTGTAGATGTGAAATTGTTTGGGATTGACCCGTGCCACATCCATTTATTGAGTAGACCACAGGAAGTATCAATTTCATAAGACGACCTTGAAACACGACAAACGACTACACGAAGGTTAGAGCAAACATGCAAATCAGCACCTCAAACTCTACAACAGAAATGATTTTCAGGTTAGAGCAAATCATAATGCAAATGATAATGCAAATGATAATGCAAATCATACTTAATGCATCTGCATGCAGGGCATCTGCATGCAGGGCATCATGTTTCTCCAACAACAGACCCATCTCCTGGCGGAGGATGTGGGCCTCCTAGCAGTTGGCCCATGATTCACTCGATCAGTTCAGGCGACTGGCTACACCCAGTAAAGGTCATACACCATGGAAGAAAACCTACCCTCTGGTAAACGTGTACATAACTATGGAAAATCACCATGTTTAACATGTAAATCAACATAAATCAACTATAAATAGCCATGTTCAATAGCGAACTGTTAGTCATTACCAGAGGGTAACCGTTACCCCAGCGACAGCAAATCCACGACACCTCGATGGTGCGGATGCCTGCGATGGGCCGTTGACTCTTGGATTGGATGGTTCAACATTCCCAGAGATATTGGGTGTTTATATTTGAGATACCCTCTGGTAAACTAACGTAGCTATAGAAAGATCCACCATTATTCATGGGTAAATCCACTATTTCAATGGCCATGTTCAATAGCTACGTAACAAATTACCAGAGGGTATTGATGAAGATCTAATGGTGTTTGTTTATCATCTTCCCAGAGATATTCAATGAATTTCAATGATCTAAATATGAGAAGATCGGATGCCCAAAAATCGAAAAAAACTGTAGAATCTAAAAAACATTAGATAACGACTTCATATATCCCAAACCCGGATCCAGCTCCCAAGCCGCTTCCATAGCACCACATTAATTTTTTCCAGCTGTGCATCGCTTGGTCTCGCCACAAGTCCCTCCACTCGAGACTCGAGTATCAATGATCAATACGCTCTGAAAACTGCTCAGTGCAGCCATTCCCATCTGAGATTCTGCTTAGGGAAGGCAAGGTGAAGAACTTAGCATTTCATCAAGGAGATTCATTCATATTCATAGGAATGAATAGATTGACATAGGGGGAAACCATGTTTTTCTTAACCAAAGATATCCAAAGATATCCAACTGGATTTTGTAGATGTTCCTGGCCCACCAATCAAATCTCGTGGATGCTCCAGTCTCATCTGAGAGTGCTTCGTGGGGGCGAAGCAAAAAGGCGACCACCACAGCTGGCATCACTTCATGGCGGACCTGTCTGTTTTGACTGATATGACAGCCCAGAATTTGGATAGATATCACCTATTCCAGGTTGTCTTACTATGTGTATATTATGTGTATATATATATGTGATTACTGTAATATACATATATATATAGCCTATAGCCGTAGTGCGTTATCAGTACATGCACACAAACATGCACAAACACATTGGCAATATCTTAGGGGCAGGCTTTAGCAGATGTGGAGGGGTCCCTGAAGCTCCCCCTCGATGAGAACGTAGTGGGGCATCCCATTGAATTGACCAGCTCACCATGAATCCCTCAAATGCGCCAAGTGAAGTGGTAGCTCAAATCCCACAATAAAGCCGCCAAAAAAAACACCATGTATCACCATGATAGTTTATGTGAATCCGCCAATAAAAACATATAAAAACCACCACAAATAGCCAAGGGCCAAGGCTTTGGGCATGTTTTGGCCACTTGAAATTCTTCCTGGCCAAGCCTCATGGTTGCAGGGCAGCACGCAGCACCGGAGGTGCACCGTGTCTCAAGACCACCTGGGTTCCGATGGGTTCCGTGTCATGGTCAGATTCTCTGCCTCCAGAAATCCCAGATCACCATTCTTCACATAAAAATCATAAAAGAAAAACAAAATCAACCAACAAAGATCACTTCAGATGTATAGGGTTGCACGGTTGCACCTGTTTGCCCTCTGCATCCTATACAAGCTACGAGTACTGCTTTCCAGACTGAATTCCGCATGGTCCATGGGTCCAGCATGCTCCCACGGCACCACGAAGGATGCGCCAACGCAGGCCACCAGGAAGGCTTGGATGTCGATCTGCAGGAAGGAAGACCTGGATCTGGAGCTCATGGCTTTCAAGGGGCCCAAGGATAGCCCACGCGTCATACCAAGTCACTGGAGACTCATCTGCAGGAAGCGCCAAATGATGTGCATGACATTCAGCATTTGGTGCCCTGGTTGGTACTCATGCCTGGCTGAGATTGGCGGTGGTGTCCTCGATATAAACCCATCAAAAACTCCACGAGATGGGAATCCAAACATTGGCACATCCATAAACTCGATATAAAACCCGATCTCGCGCCCCTCTACCAGTAAATAATGTAAATCCAGAGTTGAACACTAAAGTCACTAAACTTGAAATCATCCTTTGAACTTTGGGGCTATTCACGCAGTTTCCAGTTAAATCATTCACTAAAGCACCTGCAAATGTCGAAGCGTTGGGCTTCATCTCCGCAGTGCTGCAAGAGGTGGCAGATGGCACCTCAGCAGAGAAGCGGAGCATAGCGGAGCATAGCGGAGCATAGCGGAGCTGTGGCTCAAAACTTTTCTGGAGGTCTGGAGAAAGATGTTCCATGTAGGTCTGTGGTATGTTGCAGTCTATATGATCTATATGGATGAAACATGATGAAACATGATGAAACCCATACGTGCTGTGTCCCAGCAATCCCAGCAATTTGGCTATACTACTATAATAATATACTATGCTATACTGGAGGGAATATCTCGTACCACGTTTGGGATGATAATGGATGATATGTCCAGATGGTACCGCTCGTTCACATCATATTCCAGTCACGGTCGCTCATCTAAGAGTCTGACCCTCCAGCAAATGGCACCTTGGCTGCTGTTGTCTATGCCAACAGTGCACAAGTGTGATGAAGTGTCACGGAGAAACACACAGCAACGATCACTGAGGAGTGAATATTCCATTCAGGAAATGATTGGCAATCATGGTTGATCTACAGGGGGCTTAAGGACCATGATCCATAGCTAATCGCCCAAGTGACATGGCCACCCAACCAAACTCAAAGTTGAAACCCGTCATTTCCTCAGACATTGCCATTGCAGCATCCAAGCCCCCCGACCCAACGGCGATGCTTTTCTTTGACTGGTCCTGGAGCAAAAGCTCACATCTACCATACAGTTACACTGTGCTACAGTAGGTTGCCAAGAAGAATGTCTGAGTCGACAAATTGTGCACTTTGTGCACTTTGCACTCCCCACAGTGTCACATCCAATCATTCAACAAATGTTTTAAGAGGCCTGGGCTCCCCAACGCATAGCATGGTCTGTACCAACCCACCATGACCTGAGCTGCCATCGAAGAACGGAATCACCACCCGGGACCACAGATTCGCATCATTTGATATCATGTGTACTTAGACATGCCATTGGGCTATCCATTGTGATTGAAACACATTGCACTCAAGATCGCTAGGATTGCTGAGATCGCTGCCATCAAAGTTCCTTGGGGTGTCAGCAGTGAAACAACTTCACAACACGGCCGCTGAAAAGCAATGATTGGCATTGGAGGACATCTGTTCTGGTCGTTGCGAATCCAAAAGTGCAATCGACAGATGTGCAATGGACGAGGCCAGTTGTTGTTGCTTGGCATGCTTTTTGCAGAGAATACTTACGAGAAAAAATATGCCGGTCAATCTCAGATAGTCCAAGATACCCAATCCAGTCGCCCTCGAAGACCAGGGAGACACTCCTCGAAAAGCGCATGGACGAGTACGAAATCCCTTCCAACACCAAACAATCCGTGGCTCCCACGCATTTTGAGGACAGATCACTTGGTTTGATTGAAAAACAAACTTCATAGTGAACTTTGCCCGTGTTATGGGCCAAGATCATCAACATGGCTATAAAATGCCATAAATATCATCAATTCTCGGGGTTCCAATTATCAGACACAGCATGACACAGCCATGCCCACATTTTTGGGTTACCACGCTGTTGTCCAGCCCAGGCGCCTCTGGTGAAGCGCCCCGCGACGGTCCCTACTCCGCTGCGCTGCCTCGTGCTTGGCCAAGGAGTAGAACACGCCTGGCGTCGGTCTCCACCAGGAAATGGTTGGCCCTTCCAGTTGTGTAAACGGATGTAAATGGATGTAAATAATGGATGTAAATGGGTTTTGACACCAAGGAAAAATTGGAACTTGATGATTTAACATATTTAACATAATTTAACCAGGTAACAAGTCGGAATGAGTTAAACACTGAGGAGTCTGATCAATTGCCGGATGCAGCTGGTCGGTGGCTGGGCCACCAGCCCGCACGATTGTTCCAGAAACTCACATCCAAATCGTCAAAATCCTGCAATAGAATTCAATAGATTCATGTATGGGAAGAAAACATGGCATTTAGACTCCCCTTCCATGCATTGACCATCACCGGTGTTTTTTTTCATCGTTTGGGTGCGTATGGAAACGGAAAATCCCAAATGCTTCGCCAATCTTCACCCACATTCTGAACCCAAAAAAAAGATGAGTTCTTGGAGTCACCCCATGGTTTTTCCTTTCAAAAAAACTGCATTTTTGGAGGTTTCCCCTTCCAAAACCCCCACGACCAAACCCGATGTTTCCACCTGGCGGCTGCAAGGCCACCGCCAGGCGATCCGTTAAAGCCCCCACCACCAGCGCGATGCCACCGCCCAGGGAGTGACCAGTCACCACCACCTCCTTGGCCATGGATCGCCATGGCTAAACTTCTAAACCTAAAAAAGATATAATAGGTGGTGGTTGAAGGGTGAAATTCATTAGCCAAATCCTAAACTTCTAAACCCTAAATGAACATCTGGTAAAATGGGTAAAATTACCATTTACGGTTGCAACATCATGCATGTGTGCAGTATTTTTGACTGGGAGGAAAACATGTGGTAGGTTTAAGATTGCTTTTTGTGGATCAAATGTTTGTTGGCTAACCCCGTTATTATTATGGCTTTAGGCTTTAGGGCTAGTATACAATAAAATTGTATAAAATTATATCGTCTGAAAAAAATGTTAGTATGGCAAAAACATCTGGGTCCTGTTCACGTGGTATTTGCCGCACATAGTCCAGAATTTCGCTGTAGTGCCACTGATTATCTTCGAGGCCCAATCCGCCTGAGCGAAATGTTACACTTCCAGCTGGAAAACTATACGAAGAAGATCGAAGAAGTTTCTTCCAACGTTTGACTCGCCACGCCACGTCATGCGGTACCACATATTCCAACATATTCATATTCATATATATATATATATATACAATTTATATATATATATATAATATATAATATATATAATATATAAAATATATATAATATATATAATATATATAAATAATATATATATATAATATATATATATAATATATATGTGAATCGGAGGTTGTCACTCCGACTATGTATTGATGTTGGTTCTTGAAGGAGTCGTCTTCAATGGCGATGACAAGTGAATAGCGGCTTCCGCATGGCTTTGCTCTTTTCCGGTACTGCAGTGGGTCTTGAGCCAAAGGGGCGATTTGATGTACCCCCTTGGCAATGGATCCTAGAGTGTCGAATTATATGTGGATATACAATCGTACGTAGCCTACACTCTATTCGCACCCCCCACGCATAGCCAACTTGGTTGGCTACGCGCAAAGGAGTGTCCTTTAAATTGATCCACTACACTTGCAGCTGTTCATTTATTGAATTATGGAGAGCTAAAGTCCGTTTCAGAACTTCCAATCTACACGGCGGCTTGCTACGATCTCTACCAAAAAATAAAGGTTCTGTTCACGTGCATGTAGACACGACGTAGTCGGTGTCTAGCGTTGAGGCTCATCCGATGTGGCGTAGCCAGCATGGAATCCCACTCAAGCATGTGAATTACAAATAAAATCAAAACACAAAGATGAATCAGGAACTAGAAGTTTACCTTCCCGTTCCTTCGTCGGTTGAGATGTAGACCGCTGTAGAAACTCAGCGTCTCATGCAATGATGTTCTAAAAAAAATGTGTGGTTCTAAATTAGCCGGCTCAGAGTCCTCTCAGAAATCATTCGAAATGAAGTAGAGGTAAATCTCGAGCAATGATTGCATCCTCGCATCGCCAGGTTCCATCAGGACCTATGCAGAGGTCAGATCGCTTAATCATCTATATCCCCATCCATAGTATCCCTGTTGGTTCCAGTCTCCGCCACGGTGTGAATAGGATCTTCCACCTTTTCCTTGGTCTTTTCCACCCTTCTTTGGCGGGGTCACTGGAGCTTGTTTTGGCTGAGGAGCGGTTTCAACTGTTCTCCATGTTGCTGACGATGATGCTTTCGCTTTCGACACTCTTCCCAGTGCTGGTGCTGCTTTCGGGGCTGCTTTAGACTTGCCAGCGGCTGGATTAGCACGTTCACGATCAGCAGGAGTCGGGGTATCAGCAATCGCAAGTATGTGAGCTTCAGACAAGTGGATGCCCCATCTTGGTCGTTGATCTTCCCGTTGCTTAATGTGATTGTAGTCATCAATCGCATCATACAGCTTTTGGAGTAGAGGTCGTGGCAATTGTCGGCCATTCTGTAGGATCAAGTGTAAAAGTGATATTCTTCGAAGTGGTGGACGAAGAGCACACACAATGTCAACTGGGTTCAGTGTGATTGTGTCTTGAAAGTCGACGTTCCTGAAGAAATAAACAGCATTTACCCTATATGCACCTGCAATGATTCTTCTGACCATGACATCTTGTCGGTCAAGGGCGTCGCGGGCCGCTGTGGTCTTTCTCATCTCATCCATTGTTGTGTCACGCTTCGACAGCTTCTCCATCTCCTCATCAAAGAAGATGTTTTGCAAGTCATCATACGTGTAGCCACATTCAAGGGTATATACGAGAAGTCTTTTGAGTACCACCGCCCCATAGTATGCATTGACAAATCCCTCTTCCCCAATGTCATCTCTTTGATTTGGTCGGCCGATATCTTTGTAGAGCTCTTTCATCTGTTGTGCAGTTGGTTCAATGAGTTCACCATTTTCATCCTCGCCCAGGTAAGGTGTCCTTGAGTCCAGGTCCATCCTGAATTTCTGGTTCTGTTGAAAATGTTTCCATGCCGTTTCAATGTCTCCACAGAAGTTCCGTTGGAATAGTCTGTAGATCCTGACGATATGTAATCCAATCTGCAACAGGAGGATCTTGATGAGCTCCGGCTGAGCATCTCCAATTGTGCAAGGCTCGATTGGCAGGACCTTTGATCCAAACTCAATTCGTTGCATCCATTTGGGGTACTCAATCTCTGCATCACGAGCTTCTCCAGCCTCATACTCTTCAATGTTGATTTCATCGACCGCTATCTCTTCATCGTCGTTCTCGTCGGTCGGTTTTCCTTCCTGATTGAGAAATTTGTCGACCTCATCTTGTTCTCTGAAGTCTCTTTTCTCATCATTGATGTCGCCCTTCTTCGAGGTTTGGTCATCATCTTCTTCTTCTGGTTGAGTTTCTTGTTCTGGACTTTTCATGGTGACATCGTCATCATCTGGCATCACCTCGTCGTCATCATCGTCACCTGTCAAATCGATCTTGACCTCCTCCCATGCTTTCTTGACGTGGTCTTTGAGATCTTCTTCTCGATGATGTGACTCGGCGCTTGGTACTGTAGCCACGGTGATCTTGATTCGTTTCCGTCCTCCATCCATGACTCACCAAAAATCCTTTGCACATCACACAAATCGATAATGGTGCAGGGGTCTCCATCAGACATGCGGGGCATAGTCGATGGTCCTCTTTGCTGGGATGATGAGTGACTGCCAACAATGATATTGCATCATTCCAATCCGGATGTCCAGGGAACAATCTGTGGGTTTGACTGAAATGACCGGTCCTGATATCGACAAGTTTTCGAAGTTCGCCCAGATCGGGTGATGATTCTTCAGGCACAATGTTTCCAATGAGCTTGTCAAATCGTTCAATGGTGGCTATCCTCTTTGCTCCTTGCACAAAAAGAACAAGTTGATCTCTTCCCTTCGTGATCATGAGACGGTAATAATCCTTCTCTCTCCAGTCGTAATACCAAACAGCATCGAATGATTCGAATGGAATTGTTTCTTGGACCAAAATGTGTCCGTCTGCTGACAATCTAGGGGAGAACTTGGCGATGGAATCATACGTGATGTAGATGTAGACAAGATCAGTCTGTTCAATCTTCCTGAACCTCAGCACCGTCTGGCTTCGTACGTCCCATGGTGCGAATGGCACGAAGAACGTATTGATGCGATCGCCTCCTCCTCCGGGACGTAGTCCTTCTCTGAAGATTTGAGCGATATTTTCAAAAGTGGTGCAGTGAAATCCTCCTCCAAGAGTGTATCCGACTCCAGGGTTCATCTGATAGGACGTCTTCTTGTCTTCAATGCGCACACCGCCTTGAACTCGTGAATGTGCCATAGGGGCACGGATTGCCACTGGCCAAAGCCAAATCTCTCGATCTGCTGTGCCGATTTCCAACCTCAGTGTTTGTCGATCAAGTCTCGAAGTCAATCCATCATTGAAGTTGTCCATGAGATATTCCAACTCAGCTTTTGTGACTTTGAGTCCTAGCACTTGAGCTCGGATTCTTTTTGTTTGCTTGTACTCAGTGAAAATCACTCTCTGGAAATTGTTCCACCTCTCAACAAGTATCGGGTAGTTGACATAGGTCGTTCCAGCCAATGTATGTTGGTCTTTCCAAATGGCGTCATACTTCAAGATCGACTCAACATTGACCCAACCTGCCTCATCGCATGGTAGTCCACGGTGATTCCGACTGTCTTTGACGCAACCCACGGAGTGGCGTAGCGCTGCATTGAATCTTTTTGACAATTCGATTATCCATGGCGGATTTTCCCACTTGTTGCCCATCCACTCATTCTCGCCATATCGATGCACCTTGCACCAGCCCATTCCAAGATACTCTTCTCCGTTGATGCGGGCAAGTTGAAGTTTACCGATGTTGTGGCCATGTGTGAATGGTTGGATGTACTTGAAATTCCAGTTGTTTCCATGTTGTTTTCTTTCTTCAGTAAGCCATTTTACATATTCATCACGATCAAGTGGGTTCCAAGCATTCAGCTCCTCAATGGTCGGCAAAACAGGCGGGGATTCCTCAGCCGCACGTTCAATCAGCAGATCAAGCTCATGACGATTCTTCACACCTCGGCTAATTGGGTTGACTTCGACACCATTCACTAAGTATTGTCCTCCTTCTTCACGATCACCAATGTCGTACATAAAGGCTGACTGACTGTAGAAGCACTTGGTCACTTCTTCTTTCTCAGTGAATCTGGTTCTTCCCCAACGCTTTCCTCGCGGCATGACGTTCTTTGGTAGCTTGTCTTTTCTGCCTCTGGTTGCAGCTTTGGATCTTTCGGATGATGATGGGGATTTGGACTTCTGATCCATGATCAATCTCATGCGCCAAAGGGTGTCCTTCATCTTCTCATCATCTGGCGTGGTACATTCATCAATGTCATGCGTTCCACCACAAACGAAGCAATATTGGACAAGCGACGCATCTGCAATCAGCTTCTCAAATCGATCACGGATGTCCCGCACCTCTGTTCGGCGCTTCTTTGCTTCCGAAGGTTGGCCCCCCACGTCATCTTCCTCCTCCTCATTCTCAATGTCACCAGCTCCGGCATCGGTCTCTCCTGAAGTCTGTTCTGCTCGAGGGCCCCGCGCCGTAGGCGTCGTGGTCTCCTCATCAGGTTCATCAACT